AAAAAAAAAAAAAGAATTGGATTAAAACAATTATAGGTTCTAATGTTACACAAGATTGCCGATACAAGAATGGTACCACCTCAAATTCGAAAAAAAAAAAAAAATCGTGACCAATTAAAATTAATTAAAAATTAAAATAATTTGAATGAACCAAATAGTTAATAGATTTTGTGATCAAAATGGTCTGACTAACTTTATTTATATTGGTTAAGAATTTTATCAATTTAAATTTTCTGTTAAATTTTTTGATATAAATTTTTTCTATCGGAAAATTTAAAGTAATTCCTACATAATTATATTGCAGCTATAATATTGAAATTTCGGAAATAATATTCTTAAAATATACTTAATATACCTAATGTAGTACTTAATATATCTTAAATTTTACATATATTTTGTTTTAGATATTTTTTTTCCCCCGAACTCAAAAAAGAAAAAGTGGAACTGAGTTTATCCTAACCGAAGATTAGGTGTAAACATAAAAGCATCATAAAAAAAAAAGGACATGAGTGTATATAAACAAATAGTAATACTTAATAAAAAAAAATGGGTGGTAAGTTTGTTATCTTTTTTGCCCCCAGAACCTATAATATCTTATCTCAATACATGAGTTATTCATTTCTTCTTCCGCATTCTTCCATAAAGTTTGAAGGTATTCATCATAAGTTAAACCTAAATGATCGGCTAATTCTTGTCCATACAGATCTTTAAAATATATTGTATAAACTTCAGCACATTGATTCCCTAATTCACCGCCTTGAGGTCCGACGTTTATTATTTTACAATCAAATTGAATGTCTTGTAAACTATTCGTTGAATATAACATATATTGAAGTTTATCTGTCATTACGCTGATCCCTCGTAATGCCAAAAGTCCATAAACTAATGATGATTTTTTTTTATATTATATATATGTATATATATATTTGAAAATTAAAATTAGAATTACATAATACATAAAACAAAAACATGTATTTTATAATTACTTACAAGACTCTACTATTTTGGCATAATTTGGAGCATGCCTCAACGGATATATATCTGGTTCATTAATTTCTACCCAACCTCCGCGTTTCGTTACTCTAATTTCAAAAAAAAAATTTATTTAATGTATATATTATATAATCCATAATTCCTATTTTTTTTTGAATTTTTGGGAATACCTGATCATTTCATCGATCGCATGTTTATATTCTACTTCAGTAAAATCTACTTGTAATTCTCCCGTTTTTAAAAAGTCAAATTCTTCATCTTCATATGGTATAGATTGTAAATTTCCTTTGATAAAGCTTGTATTTTTTGGTAAATTTGTAGGGAGTGGCGATGGATTTAAATCAAGTCCAATAAATTCTGAATTTGGATATCTTAAAGCCTGATAAAAAAAGAAATCCCCCACGTATTATTTCCCTTTTTTGATTAACATTAAAATAAATTTAAAAAAAAATGAATATATTAATTTACCATATCAATTAACCATGATCCAGAACCACATCTGTAAAAGAATTTTTTTTTAAAAAAAAAATAAATAAACTAATTAAAATAAAAAAAATAATAATTTTTTTTTTGTGACTTTATTTACGCAGTTTCCATGATCTTTCCGTTCAATATTAGAACATCTTCAATAGGAGCAGAAAAATCCGAATTAAATAATCCTCTTAGATAAGTAAAATAAATTGAAGTTCTTTCATTTTCTTGTAAAACAATTTTTGTACTTATATTACTATTACTATCTGTATCTGATTCAATCGAACGTTGTTGACTTATTAAACTTCTTTTTCTTTTAATCCTTTTAGTTAAACCTTGGCCCATCTTTTTAAAAATAATATTATTTATTATTAATTATGAAAGGAAAGATTTAAGGGAAAAGTGAATAATTAATATGTGAGATATATATATATATATAATTTGATCATATGAGTGTTTTTTTAACGTCAATTGATGTATTAGTAACATAAGTAACATTGGTTACACAAACATTCTGTATTTGAAACGGGGCAAAGAGTCCTTTGTTGTATATATACATATATAATATATACATATATATATGTATATGTATATGTATATATAATTCGAGATATATTTTTGTTGTGAATTTCTAATTTTGTCTTTAAGATTCTCAATTTTATAATATGATTGGTTCATCATGTTTTATCGTGTTTACATTGAAAAAAAAAACTTTTTTAAAAATGATTTTCGAGATATCCCTTCGAATCATGTGTACATTGGAAAAAACTTTAAAAATTTTTTAATCCTTCGAATAAGATGTACAGTAACACAGATTAAAATAAAACCCGATGGATTTCACGGTAAATTCTTTCTTATTAATCATGCATATTATAAAAAAAAAAACTCGAAATGCGTCACTAAATTAGCTTTAGCTTCAAACCCGTTTACTTCAAATCCCTTGCGGCTTTACCAATTATAACGGAATAAACAATTACAAATACCATCGCATTTAATATAAATTCGTTGTTAAATTAAATGTCAAAAAAAAAAAAAAAAGTTGTTAAATTTATTATTATTATATGTACATCATCACTCATCATGCTATTTTAAAAAAAAAATTTTTTTTTTTATTTGCTTAAATAAGTTTAAAAAGACCCTGAGGCTAATGTATTTTTTATTAGTAATATGATCTCTTTATATATTGTATTGTATTGTATTAGTATTGACTATTATTTAAATTAATTCTAAATAAATTTTAGACTAATTTACATAAATACTTTAATTATTCCATCTCTATCTCCACTTATTAACATTGGATGTGGTAACTCAGTAATTTTTAAATCTGTTATACAATCTAAATGATTTTTAAGTAATTGTTGTTGTTGAACTGATATTAATTGATTTCTCGCACTATTAGTATTTTTACTTGATTTTTTATTACTATTACTATTATTAACACTATGACTACTATGACTTCCTCCGTTCGTATTATTATGAGAATTTGGTGTTGATGAGTTTGATGTTGTATTATTCATACTTGTGGAATTGACTCCTCGATATATCGAATGTGACTCATAATGAATGTGTATTCCATCAAATTGTCTTGTGCTACATAATTAAAAAGAATTAATTTATAAAGTTATATTAAAAAAAAAAATATGGTTATAAATCTTTATACCTATATATAGGTTTTTTTTCATCTATATCAGATCCAACAATAACATATGAATCTTCTATATGTTTATGATTCCATAGTCGAATTTTACGATCCGATCCAGCCGTTATCATATAATTACAATCATGTGGATAAAGAACTGCTCGTATAGAATTGTCCGCTGAAAAACTCCCTTCATGAGCTGTAAAAGCACTTCTTAATATACTACCTGATCCAGGGAGATCTAAAGCCTAAAAGGGTTAAGAGGAGAAGGTTATATAACAAACATATGGAATTATATAGAATATGATTCTCTTTAATTTATGATTTAGTACCTTAAACATGTCTAATGAAACTCCTCCCTTTTCATCTCCGGTTCGTACACCAAAAACTTCTTTACATTCAATTTTTTCTACATCCCAAATTGATACTTCATTTTTACCTGCTGCAACAATAATCCACAATGGTTTTTGAGGATATAATAGAAGTTTACTAATTCGACTTTTAGTCGGATGAACCCATGATCTTAATTGATTCCTGAATCGAAGATCCCATAATGTGAAGATACCCCGGGATGTTCCAACAAGAAGCCATCTGTATTTTTTATCTGTAACCATTGCTGAAATTACTCCATGACTTTTAGGATTTTTAAAAGTCCATATAACCTCCATAGTGCGTAAATCTAATCCACATATATTTCCTTTAGATGTTGCGTATAGCAATATTGAATCCGTACCTAATATGCATTAAAATTAAATATAGAATTTTGATATTAAAGGAACCAAAAAAAAAAGAAAAATAAAATAAATAAATAAAATAAATACCAGTTTCATAATGCTCCATCGTCACCGCATATTCCTCATTCAAATAAGTCTCTCTTACTGTTACAGGTTTTCCATACTTAGGTGAATTTGTACCTGGTACATAATCAATTCTGAACACATGAATACTGCCATTATCAGATGCTGCAGCAATACTATGTGTACTATCGATGAATGCTATGCATTTAATTTTTCCTCCTAAAAATAATATGTATGCATATTAAATTTAGCTAATTCACTTCCAATTCTATTATTTATAAAATAAAATATACCTTGTTGATTGTAAGTAACTCTTGATCGATTATTAAAATTCTTTACAAATCTTGAGCAATCCCAGATTTTAACTGTTCCGTCATCCGAACATGATGCAAAAAAATTATGATCGGGTGATACGCAAATTTGATTAATTGCGCCTTTATGTTCAGTCATATGAGCTACAAGGGTACCTGGGATAAAGGAAAGAAATAAACATTATCACTATTTATTTTACAATATCTCTTAATTTTAAAGAAATGATAGTTTGCCATACCGTCAGGTTTCCAATTTTGAATTGTCTTGATATTTGTTGGTTTCGATCCACGTGTGGTAGGTTGAATTAAAGCTTTCGTCACTTTTGGTCCAAATTCTAAGATATAAAATAAGTTTAGTGAGAGAAATTTTTTCATATTTATTTCCTTCAATAAGTTTGTCTCACCTGACATAGGCTCAGGAAAAGCCTTAAGATACAAACTATCTAATAGATTCTTCACATTTCTATCATTGCCCTCTGTTCAAAAATCAAAATAAATAAATTTAAATCTTCATATTGAATTAAAGAGATATTATTGATAAATAAAAATAAACAAACCATAAGTGCTGGAAACAAATGTTCCAAGATTTTTTCTTGGAGGATTATTTATGGGTAGGTCCAAACCAACACCGTTCGGTCCTGTGTAGGTGTATGGTAAAGGAATTTCCAAAGTTGCAATTGCGGTCGTAGTATTTGTACTAGTTGCAGCTGCAGCTTTGGGACTTTCAATAGTTCTCCCAACTAAGGACATGTGTTTATCTCGCAAAGATGTTGCAGCAGTTGCAGAATTTGATGGGCTAGCGTTTGAGACATTTATTAATATTGGTGTAGGAATGCGTTTATGTGATTTTGAAGTAGCTGCAGCAGAAACATCTGCAGGTTCAGAAGAGATTGAAGTTGTGGATTGGTTTTTAGCTGCAAATTTTTGACCAATATTATTTCTAGCCAGATTTAAGCCTGTAGGGATTAATCTTGCTTGCTCTTCTGTTCGCAGAAGTTGAAGATTACTTTCACTTGAAATACGAGGAACTGAAGGTTCTATTAGTGAGTTCTTACTACTCTGTGCACTTTTAAGCCGGTAAGGACTAAAAAAGTATATAAATATATATCAATTAATGAAATATGATAAATGATAGAGAATCCTTCATGACAATTAATTTATTACCTTGGAGTGCCTACAACATTCTTTTTTTTAAAAAAAAAGAAAAAAAATTAGATAGATATAAGCCAGTCTTAAAATTCCATCAAAAATATAAAACTTACTGCTTTATCAAGCTTTGGAATAAGAGAATTGGTAGTGGCTTTATGACCATCAACGTTTGTTGGTATAATAAATACATTATGTGGTGTTATTCCTAGATTTTTCAATGAAATATTACCATCCTAGTAAAATTTAAATATATTAATAAAATTTGAAATTAAGTAAATCGAATGAAATTATTAGAAATTAATTTACTTCTACAATATTTTCGCTCGGTCTTGCACTAATTATAAACAGTGTAGTTAGTTATAAAATTGTTAAGAATAAAAGAAAGAAAGGAAAACAAGTGATCCACACTAACTTTGATTTAGCCAAAGATAATTTATATATATAATCTCTCATAGCGGCTATTTTTTCTTCATCTTCAGGTGTCATTCCAATATTTTTCATTTTCTCTAAATGTTGTTCATCTCTTTATGAATAAGAAAATTTATTTAATAATGAAAACTATAATGTAAAGGATAATAGTTTAACATGTTTAACATATGCAATACTCACTCTTCTGACTTGCTTACTTTTTCAACATTAATTGACAAGGTTGAAGTTCTTCTAGATAATATATTAATTACAGTTGAACTACCTGTTAATGTAGTTGTAGCGGTCTTGTTCGCTTTTTTTTCCTTTGCTGGTTTCCAAAATAATGATTTAGTAGTTTTACCAGCCCAAATAACTGCCGCATCAAAAACAGGTCTTGAAACCTTTATATGACAAATATATAATATATATGAAATAATTTAAACTAGCAAATATTTGAATTTAATAAAATATTGTAACAATACCGGTTCTTTAACATTTTCTAGTAATTGAAGTTCTGTTATTTCAACTACATCGGCTTGTAAGAATGGTCTTATTATCGGATAAATTATGCACCATACATCTGTTATTGGCAATAACTTGGCTGCTGAGGCTATAAATGCAACAGCACCTATATGTTTTTTTTTTTAAAAAAAAAGGTAGATATTATTTCTCTATAAAGTTAATATAATTTGCCTTAAATTATATGAATAGTTTACCATGTCGAATCCATATCCCAGGGTGACACATTAAAGGAGAAACAACTGCAGTCAATTCACATAATTTCATTTTTTGAAACAACCCCAACTCTGCAAGACTTGTCAAGGAATTTAGTACTTTCTCTACCACAAATTCTTCAGAATCTAGTAAAATAAGAAAAAGAAAGTATTTATATATTTTATTGTTATTACAGTATTATTTCCAAATTTTAATTATACCTGAGAGAGACTGAATCATTAAAGGTAAAATATATTCTTCTAAACTACGACCTCCCACGAAAGTTCCAACTCCAATGATACTCTCAAAAAATGCACTATATGCAAAAAAAAACAAATTATTACTTTTTTCTTACGTTGAGGAACTAGAATGTAGAAAATTTTTAAAGAACCTTCGTAACATCCAATCTCGATCATTTAGATAAGTAATCATGTGACTTAACAATTCGTCATTGGCTTTTTGTTTTCCAAAGAAGATACATAGACTAGTAATGTTATGTAATAGAGCACGTTTTACTGCACTTTCCGAATCTGTTAAGAGTGTGGAAACTTGCTCTTGTATTATAGAATGAAGTTCATGTAAGGTGGCATCATATGAAGTCTCGTATGAATCGTCGATATCTGTATCATTATTTAAAGCTCCCGATTTAAATGACTGTGTTAATTCCAAAAATCGTAAAGCAGTTTCAGCTAAGGATGCGATGCACTGAGCATATGTCATTCTGACAAATATTTCAGGATCATTAGCAAATTTTCGTAAATTTGGCATGATATATTCTGGGAAAATTGTCGCGTTCGAAGGTGTAATGGTCTCTACCATAGATAGCTATTATTAAAAAAAAAAAATTTTTTTTAAAATAAATGCTATCTTCCAATATATATATATATATATATATATAAGAGAGAGTAAGAGAATGTTTGAATTAAAAGACTACAAACCAGATGAGTCAAAGTTTTAACAGCGTTTGCGCGGACAAGACCGACTTCGTCTCCTAATAGCGCAATCAAATAAGGAACTAATCTATCTAACTTGAATTCATCTTCCAAATGCTGTCCAATAGCCAATAACATATCCAACGCATGTAGTTTAGATGAAGGATATGCAGCGTTGCGAATAGTAGCACATATTAAGGAGAGAAAAATTAGTGCACCGTCATCTTTCAAATTAAATTTTAGTTAATTCAATGTTTAATTGCTTTGGTAAATTAAATTAGAACAGTAATACGGACCAGCATATTTCTCCCTTTTATTGCTAACTATAGATGGATCATAATTTGGTATATGAAGTTGGTCTAAAAAAGGAGACTAAAAAAATATGTGTAAGAAAAATGATTAAGCATGATCTAATTTGTTAGGTAGATATAAATCTAAATACCGTCGTGTTTGGCGTTGAAACTTAATTAAAAGAAAAAAGTTGAAGAATTAATTTATAATATAATTATAAAAAATTTCACATTTATTTTCTGTAACTTACCTTCTAGTGGGCGAGAACTTTCTCCAAATTTATCTCCACGCCCCCGAACAACTACAACTTCCGATTCCGGTGAAGCATTATCACCGAAAAATCCAAGAAAAAATGCTATCTTATCAAATTCCATATATATTCTCTCAATCTTTTCATCCGCATCAGTATTTACAATTGTATTGTTAGGTTCATCTGATACATTGGTTTGATTGGTTGTATTAGTTGTAGTTGCAAGTTGTCTGGTATGAGTATTATGTGGATCAGTAACTGACCCAATATATTGGTGAAGGAAAGTATAAAAAAATTGTGGAAATGCCGTTCCGCGCCTGTATTAAATAAACTTAATTTTAACCGAATGTTGCTTATTTAAATGCAATAAATATGAAAATAGATAAATACCATTCTTGTAGATATTGCTCCGCTGTATATCTTTGAGACGGATTTACATTAATCATATGTTTTACCATAGTCTAATATAATATTCTTGTTAAAATTAATATTCTTTATAATAAGAGTGAAAAGATTAACATACTCTTATATCTTCATCTTCAATCTTCTCTAAATATACTCTAGGGTCATATTCACCAGATCTGTATTTGAACAGTTGTGAGAGGGAGAATATTGGTGTTCCCTCTAGAAAAAGTTCGGCAATTACACAACTGAAAAAAAAAAAAAAAATCCGGAAAATCCATCGAATAGATTAAGTAATTTAATTAATATTGTAAGTCCAATAAAAGGATAATTCATTACAAATATTGTGTGTAAATAATATACCACACCCTAAAGAAAAAATGTCCATTGCAGGTGTTATTGCTCCATCCTTCTCTCCAAATTCTAACTCACTCTGATCATGTTTGTAAATTTCATTAAGTAACATTAGACATCTTGTAATAAATAAATCAATAAACTAAACTAAATTAAAATCCAACCTTTCTCCTATCAATTTCACTTTCGGGTTTATAGAATCTTTCTGGAGCAAGATAACATGTTCTTCTTGATGATGTATCAAAAAAAAATGAGAAATCTGCTGGGTTATCCTGTCTCAATCAAATTAATAAATATGAAAAAATTTTTTTAATATATATATTATATATTTTTTTCTCTTAAAAAATTAAATAAATAGAATAAAAACCTCTGGAAGATATGTAGGCTTATATCCAGCAAAATCGGCTAAATATACCCAATTCCATGAAGTCACAAGAACATTTTCTGTTTTAATATCACCATGGTAAATCTTAATAAAAATAAATAATTTAAGTAAAATAAATATAACAATCAATAAGATTTAAATCTAATATAAAGCCACAAATTACCCCTCTAGTGTGAGAATCATGTAGCCCACATAATATTTGATATGTTATCCATTTTTTTTCTATTAAATTTAGAAATGGACGTGTACTAAAAATGGAAAAAGAAACGATTTTTTAAAAAATAATATGATTTATACCTTTTATTAAAAAAATATTACACAAACCTTATTCGATCATATAAACTACTAAAAAAGAACTGTCTTATTAGATATCCCGCTTTATCTGTTTCTATTATACGTTGGTATGCAAAAGCGTTTGGAACTTCTGATAATGCCTCTTTTTCCTCTAAAAGTAAATAAAATAAAATAAATCACATAATCAAAAAAAACTTGTAAACATGGATTTTCGAAACATACCTTGAAGTGCTTTTACAATATTCGATAATGATAAACCAGGTACTGGTTTGATAAATATTTTTACAACAACAGCGCCTTCCTTATGACGACCACGAATGGTTTTCATAAAACGTGCACTACTTAAACTAATAAAAAAAAAATTAATTTAAGTTAATTAATCAAAATTATCCAACAATTTAATCACTTAATACCTCTTTTCATAATGAATGTCTTTTAGTTCACTAACATAACTATCAATTCCTGCAGTTGCTATCGAAGCTGTTGTACTTGAAATGTTATTTCCCATAATAAATTTGTTTATCAGAAAGAAAAAAATCACAAGATCCGCATGTGTTACTGCTTCTTTTATTAATTATAACAGAAATGAGAAAAAGAAGTAAAAAACATTTGACGCCGGGGATACTTGATTTTTATGCACACAATTACTGCGCCAAATACGTGTGACGCAAATCTCACGTGTACTGCATGCTTTTAGAAAATGCTGCAACCCAGTAAGATAAACGTATATAATTTACATTATTAATAATTCTTTACAAATTTTTGTGAAAGTTATTTACTCCATTTCGCACATCAAATAAATCTGTGTGAGGGATATCTTAAAGAATTAACAATCCTTGCAATTAATTTTACTTTTCCTTGCCTTGCTTAATGGATTACTTATTAATATCCCCCTGGTTTCATGAAGAAACAACAGCATTTCTAGTTGAATTAGAAAATTGCTAGGAAAAAATAACAGCTTGGATGCCGTAGAATCCGATAATATCAAATGGATTGTGTTAAGTATGATAAAGCTCAAAGAAGAAACAAATATAACAGGAACTTTTTATGAAAAATCTCAGAATAATGTATCGATTATATCAGAAAGCAAGTACGTGAAGCTTTAGAATAGAAAATAAAAAAGAACATGATCATTAAGGACCATTAAAAAACCGATCTGATGGAGAATAATGTATTTTAAAATTGTACTCGAGTCAACAATTATAGTGACGCGGATGATCAAATTCAGGATAACAGATTAAGAATTTAGAGATATATCTTGGGTGTTTAAAAGATATTAATAAGACTGGAATGTTTTATTTTCACAATAATTAATTATTTAATAAATTTCAATCAATCATTTGAATATTGAGTGGCAATTCATATTGCTTAATTTTTGTTTTTTGTTCGTTGAAGTTTATCTATCTGCTCTTCCATTTTTATAAGTTCAGTTTTCTTATCTAAAAGAGCTTGTAATTCTTGCTTGGATAAATTTCCTTCCAAAATACTTAGATAAGCATTTAATTGTCCTGTAAATTGAGCTTGAACTAGAGGATCTTTTTTACCAGTGATTATTTGTTTTTGAGTTTCTAGAAGCAAGTCGATTACTTTTTTAAAACTAGTTTCTACACTGTTCTTGGTATTATTTATTTGCTGTTCTAGTTCGGATTTTTTCTTTTGTACTTGCGGAACTAATTCATTTAATCTTAATCTTGCTATTTCTTGTTTCAGTTTATCAAGATCAAAAGTAATGTTGGGTAAAATTATATCGGCTAATTCTTTCAATTGTTGTGCTTTTTCTTTGAGGACTTGAATTTCTTTTATTCTTCCTATTTCCAGTTTCCAATTGTTTTGACTAAGGGAGATTTGAAGTTTAGAATTTGGAATAGAATTAGAAGGCCAAAGATTTAAATTTTGGAGATTAGATAATTGTTCCAGTCCTTCTATTTTTTGCAAATTAATACATCCTCGAATTATAAGCGTTGTGATCTTCTGATTAGAATTTAAATTTAATTTATTGAAACTTGTACAATCAATCTCCAATTTTTGCAATTTTGAACATCGGTCAATTTTTAAGTTGTTAATTGGATGCAATGTACCAGTCCCATCACCCCAGATAGCCAAATCTTCTAAATTTTTAAATCCATTAAGGTCTAATTCACCTTCTAATTTGGTATTAAAAAATTCGTAGTTTGATTTATCAATTTTGTTGGTTCCCCCTGTCATGCGAATACATAGCTTCTTTACATTATCTTTATTTTCCTGAGAAGAAAAATTTTCGTTTACCCATTGTTGAGCCTTTACCATAATAGTTTCTTTTAGCTTTGTTATAATCTTATACTTTAAAGTTTCAGATTATTGTTATATTACTAATTCTCCAATAACAGAACACTTTTTTACGTCATTATAATAGCTGGCAAAAAAATTTGAAGATTTGATTGATATATTTGATTGGTTAATATTCACGTGATTAAGAAATTTATCTAGATAACAATAAAAAACATTTGATAACCGGAGTTTAAAAAGATAATTATACGTGTTCAATAGTAATTTAATTATTTATTAAAGTTAATAGAATTATTCAAATATTGAGTGGACATTCACTTTGCTGATTTTTGGTTTGTTGTTCGTCGAAGTTCATCTATTTGCTTTTCCAATTGTATAAGTTTAGTTTTCTCATCTAAAAGCGCTTGTAATTCTTGTTTGGATAAATTTCCTTCCAAAACACTTAGATAAGCATTTACTTGTCCTGTCAATTGAGCTTGAACTGGAGGATCATTTTCTCCAAGGATTTTTTTTTGAGTTTCTAAAAGCAAGCCGATTATATTTTTAAAACTACCTTCTACTTTGTTCTTAGCATCATTTATTTGTTGTTCTAGTTCGGATTTTTTCTTTTGTGCTTGTGGGACCAATTCATTTAATGTTAATCTTGCTATTTCTTGTTTTAGTTTATCAAGATCAATAGTAATGTTGGGTGAAATCATATTGGCTATTTCTTTCAATTGTTGCTCATTTTTATTAGCTTTTTCTTCGAGAGAATGAATTTTCTGCTCATTTTTCTTGGCTTTTTCTTCGAGTGAATGAATTTTCTGTTGATTTTTCTTGTCTTTTTCTTCAAGTGAATGAATTTTTTTGGCTAATTCATTCAATTGTTGCTCATTTTTGTTGACTTTTTCCTTGAGGATTTGGATTTCTTTTATTCTTCCTAATTCTAGTTTCCAGTTACTTTGACAAAAAGGGATTTGAAGTTTAGTATTTGGAATTTTAGAATTTTGAGGCCAAATATCTAAATTTTGTAGATTTGATAATTTTTCAAGTCCTTCTATTTTTTGCAAATTAATACATCCTCGATCCTGTCTCTTATACACATCTAGATGTGTATAAGAGACAGGTATCAGTCCCATCACCCCAGATAGCCAAATCTTCTAAATTTTTAAATCCATTAAGGTCTAATTCACCTTCTAATTTGGTATTAAAAAATTCGTAGTTTGATTTATCAATTTTGTTGGTTCCCTCTTTCAAACGAATACATAGCTTCTTTACTTTATCTTTATTTTCCTGAGAAGAAAAATTTTCGTTTATCCATTGTTGAGCCTTTACCATAATAGTTTCTATTAGCTTGATTATAACCCGTGTAAAGTTTCAAGTTACAGTATTGCTATATTACTAATCCCACATAACTATTTAAGATTTAGTTGGTATATTTGATTGGCTATTGTTCACGTGATCAACAAATTTTGGTAAAATTTATAGATTCAATATTTCAATGTATTAAAAGAAATTGATAAGAACCATATGTTTAATTAGAATTATTCAATCGATCTATTTGAATATTGATTGCAATTAATTATGGTTTGTTCGTTGAAGTTCATCTATCTGCTCTTCTAATTATTTTTCTTATCTAAAAGAGTTTGTAATTTTTGCTTGGAGATAAGCATTTACTCGTACAGTTGTACGTCAATTGAGTTTGAACTAGAGGATCTTTTTTCTCAAGGATTTGTTTTTTGTTTGTGCTTGTGAGAATAGTCTTAATCTTACTATTACTTGCCTCCAATTATTTTATTAAATAGGAAGAACCATTTCTAGTTCTCGAATCGTAAGCGATGTACTTTAAATTTAACTCACCAAGATTTGTATAATCAGTTGGCAATTGGAACTCAGTGCAGTTTATTTGTGAGATTCTAAATTGCCTCCTTATCTGAGCAGGAAGCACTTTATTTAAACATTGACCATTGTTAAGCATTTTCCATGATCTTCGATTATCAAATTCCAGTTATAACTTATAATCTATTCTTGAACATGAAAAAAAGTTTTTTAACTAATATACAAATCATAGTGTATTTTTTTGATCAGCCTACGAAAGTCTTAACTAAATAAATAAAAAAACAAAAAATTAAAAAAAATTTCAAACCATCATACTAGTTAAGAATGATGTTTTTAATATTCCATTTACAATAATTAATTCTAATAAAGTTATCTAAAATTATTCGATAAAATGGCAAAATATTGAAAACTGCCTATTTGAATATTGAACAGCTACTCATTCTGCTGAATTTCAGTTTGAAGTTTATCTATCTGCTCTTCTAGTTGTATAAGTTCAGTTTTCTTATCTAAAAGCGCTTGTAATTCTTTCTTGGATAAATCTTCCTCTAAAATACTTAGGTAAGCGTTTAATTGTCCTGTCAACTGAGCTTGAACTAGCGGATCATTTTTTCCAGTGATTTGTTTTTGAGTTTCTAGAAGCAAGTCGATTACTTTTTTAACCCTACTTTCTACTTTGTCCTTGACATCATTTATTTGTTTTTCTAATTCTGATTTTTCCTTTCGTGCTTGTGGGACTAATTCATTTAATCTTAACCTTGCTATTTCTTGTTTTAGTTTATTAAGATCAAAAGTAATGTTGGGTAAAATCATATCGGCTAATTCTTTCAATTGTTGCTCATTATTGTTGACTTTTTCCTTGAGGATTTGGATTTCTTTTATTCTTCCTAATTCTAGTTTCCAGTTACTTTGACTAAAAGGGATTTGAAGTTTAGTATTTAGAATATTAGAATTTTGAGGCCAAATATCTAAATTTTGTAAATTTGATAATTGTTCAAGTCCTTCTATTCTTTGCAAATTAATACATCCTTGAATTATAAGCGTTGTAATCTTCTGATTAGTATTTAAACTTAATTTATCGATACTTGTACAATCAATCTTTAAGCTTTGCAATTTGGAACATCGGTTAATCTTTAAGTTGGTAATTGGATGTAATTCATCAGTCCAAAAGCCCCAGATGGCCAAATCTTCCAAATTTGTAAATCCGTTAAGGTCTAATTCGCCTTCTAATGTAGTATTAAAAAATTCGTAGTTTGACTGATTAATTTTGTTGGTTCCTTCTCCCAAATGAATACATAGCTTCTTTACTTTATCTTTATCTTCCCGAGAAGGAAATTTTTCATTTATCCATTGTTGAGCCTTTACCATAATAGTTCTTTTAGTTTGATTATAACCTTATGTTTCAAAGTTTCAGGTTATTGCTATATTACTAATTCCACACTAACAAGAAATTATGAACACTTTACAAGCCGAGGAATTTAAAGAATTTTATTGGTATATTTGATTGGCCAATGCTCACGTGATGATTAAGAAATTTTTAGGAATCGTGTACAATTATTTTTGTAGCAATTCTTTCCCAATTGTATAAGTTTTAGTTTTCTTATCTAAAAGCACATAATTCTAGTTTGGATATTCCTCCAAAACTCAGATAAGCATTTATTAGTCCTATAATTGTTTCTAAAAGCAAGTCGATTATTTATTTTTAAAACTATTTTCCACTTTATTCTTGACATCATTTATTTGTTGTACTAGTTCAGATTTTTTTTTTGTGCTTGTGTAATCTTGCTATTTCTTGTTTAAGTAATGTTTGATGGTAAAATAATATCGGCTAATTAGTTCAATGTTTTGTTCATATCTACCAGCTTTTCTTCGTCCTGAGTCTTGAAGTCCTTGTTTCTAACTATTTTGATTAAATGGGAAGAACTTTAATTCCAAAGACTTAAACTTTAGAGGGTTTACCATTTCTAGTTCTCGAAATCGTAAGCGATATAATCCATTGATTTGTGTTTAAATTTAATTCGCCGAGTTTTATATAATCAATGAACTCTTTTAGGAATCAGTACAATTAATTTTATTGATGAAATCAAACATTTTTAAATTGTTAAAATTAATCTAATTCGCCCTTTTGATGTGATTGTTTTCTCATTCCAAATACCTCCTTATTTAATTATTTAACCATTGTTGAGCAATTTAAAGTTCAAGTCATAACACTATCATAACTTATAACCTATTCTTACCAGAATCTGCACATTAACAATAAATTTAAGTAAGAATATATAAATCAGAGTGGTTTCTTTGGTCATTCTGTGAAAGACAATTAAATAAAATCAAAAAATTTTAAAAATTTTCAAATCATCATACTTCAAAAATTAAATTAATTTAGAAAAATATTTTTTGCGTTCCACTCACAATAAAAAATTTTAATATAATTATCAAAAAATTTGTAGAGTTGTTCAATCAAATAGCAAAATATTTCAAAATATTTGAACCCCGATGTTAAATAGCTATTCATTTTGCTGAATTTCGGTTTGAAGTTTATCTATCTGCTCTTTTAGTTGTATAAGTTCAGCTTTCTTATCTAAAAGCGCTTGTAATTCTTGTTTGGATAAATTTTTCTCCAAAATACTTTGGTAAGCTTTTAATTGTCCTGTCAACTGAGCTTGAACTAAAGGGTCATTTTTGTCATTTTCTCCAATGATTTGCTCTTGAGTTTCTAAAAGCAAGTCGATTATTGCATTAGGAATACTTTCTATTTTATTCTTGGCATTATTTATTTGTTGTTCTAATTCGGATTGTTTCTTTCGTGCTTGTGGGGATAATTCATTTAATTTTAATCTTGCTATTTCTTGTTTCAATTTACCAAGATCAAAAGCAATGTTGGGCAAAACCATATCAGCCAATTCTTTCAATATTTGCTCATTTTTGATGACTTTTTCTTCAAGAGAATGAATTTTCTTTCGGCTTAATTCTTGAAGTCCTTGCTTCCAATTATCTTCACTAAAAGGAATTTCAAGTTGAGAATTTTTATACCAAAGCTTTAAATTTTGAAGGTTTGATAACACTTCTAATCCTTCTATTTTTAGCAAATTAACACATCCTTCAATTGTAAGCGACGTAGTCTCCTGATTAGACCTTAAATTTAATTCACTGAGATTTGTACAATCAATAAATAATTTTTTCAATTTGGAACATAAATTAATCTTTAAATCGGTAATTTGTTGCAAATGACCGATCCCATTACCCCAGAAGGTCAAATCTTCCAAATTTTTAAATTCGTTAAGATCTAATTCGCCTTCTAGTTTAGCATTAAAAAATTCGTAGTTTGTTTGTTCGATTTTGTCGATTCCTTCGTTTAAGCGAATGCATAGCCTCTTTACTTTCTCTTTACCTGCCAGAGAAGGAAACATTTCGTCTAGCCATTGTTGAGCCTTTACCATAATAGATCTTTTTAACTCGTTTATATAACCTTATGCTTTAAAGTTTCAGACTATCCTTAAGTATTCCCTTTTGAGCAGAGCTGCTTGGCACATTAACAAGGGGCGTGTTATCTATACGCCATTATGAAGTTTTGATTGGCTCTGATGATTCAAATGAAATATTTATCTTTTTTCGATGTATGACATGTGATATGCATTTTTTTTTATCCAGATCATATTTAGCGCATGAAATGATTAGTACACCGAGGCGTGCCTATAGACTGTAGTCTGTTAATATTATTTGCTTTGCGTATCTGCTTCTCCCCTATTTTTTCAAAATATGAACTATTAAAACAAACAATGTCTCATAAGTAATTCTTATACCTGTTAGCAATTGGATTTGAAACTTTCTTCATAATTATGTGGAAGGATGATGGAAATTTAAGGTATACAATAAATTAAATTATTTCACGTAAAAAATACAAAGTTACTAAATTCTTAACTCGGAATACATAATATGGATATTTTTTATTCTAACGTCTAATCTAACTCTGACCTTTCTGCAAGATTAATTTGCTTCTTTGTTACCGTCGATTGCAATCTCCATTTCGCCATGAATTCTTCACCGCTCTTTTCACCTTAGTTTACACAACTAATTAACAAATTTTTAGTATACTTGCATGTGGTACTTATACGATATGGTGATGTGCATAAGTCTTTTAGAAATTGGTGGAATTTATGTTTGTCACATATTCTAAATTGCATATTTGGCTTTCTTATCTATTTAACCATTATTAAATAATCAGTGATAATCTTGATTATAAAAATTTCATTAGTTGTTTCTTTGGTCAGTTTTTGTCTTTTTGAAGGTCTTAATAAAATTTTCTAACCATCATACATCAAAAATCAGCAGTAAAAATTAAATTTTTACAACTTTCACCAGCAATTGATTTTAATTAAATCTAAAATTGTTTAATCAAATGACAAAATATTGAAACTCGATATTGAATAGCTATTCATTTTGCTGAATTTTGGGTTGAAGTTTATCTATCTGCTCTTCTAGTTGTATAAGTTCAATTTTCTTATCTAAAAGCGTTTGTAATTCTTTCTTGGATAAATCTTCCTCTAAAATATTTAGGTAAGCGATTAATTGTCCTGTCAACTGAGCTTGAACTAAAGGGTCATTGTTTCCAATAATTTGTTTTTGAGTTTCTAAAAGCAAGTCGATTATTTTCTTATAATCACTTCTTACGTTAATCTTGATATTACTTATTTGTTTTTCTAATTCAGATTTTTCCTTTTGTACATGTGGAGATAATTCATTTGATTTTAATCTTGCTATTTCTTGTTTCAGCTTACTAGGATCAAAAGTAATGTTAGGCAAAACCATATCGGCCAATTCTTTCAATTGTTGCTCGAGAGAATGAATTTTTTTTTGTCTTAATTCTTGAAGTTCTTGATTCCAATTATATCGACTAAGAGGAATTTGAAGCCGAGGATTTAAATGCCAAAGGTCCAAATTTTGGAGGTTTGGTAACTTGTCCAGTCCTTCTATTTTAAGTAAATTAACACATCCTTGAATTGTAAGCGACTTAATCTCCTGATTAGAGTTTAAATTTAATTCACTGAGATTTGTACAATTAACATATAATGTTTGCAATTTGGAACATCTGTCAACCTTTAAGTTAGTAATTGATTGCAAATGATCGATCCCATTACCCCAGAACCTCAAATCTTCTAAATTTTTAAATTCTTTAAGATCTAATTCGCCTTCTAATTTAGTATTAAAAAATTCGTAATTTGATTGTTCGATTTCGCCGATTACTTTGTTCAAGTGAATGTGTAGCTTCTTTACTTTCTCTTTACCTGCTCGAGAAGGAAACATTTCGTCTAGCCATTGTTGTGCCTTTACCATAAAAGATCTTTTTAACTTGTTTATAATCTTATGCTCTAAAGTTTCCCTTTTGAGCAGAGCAGTTCGGTACATTAACAACATAGCATTAAATCCTATAATAATACGTGTTGTCTAATCCGCTATCATGAAGTTTTTGATTAGCTTGATATTCAAGATAATCTCGCATAGTAAAAATTATGAGGTCACGTGGCTTAGAAATGATGCAAACGACAATCACTAATTTACTTATAACATATTTTAGTAATTGATAAAATTTATTGGTATGAAAGTTAATATTTTAAATTGCATAATCAGGAAACACTTTAAATATTAATTATTGTTAAGCATATTTCAATGGCCTATACTTACTATTTGCGCACTTTTATAATAATCTACATACATATAATTAGTTATTTCTTGATAGTTATTTTTCTTAATCGTCATTTGACTCTCCAATCGTCACTAGCTATTTAACGTGCACTGTTTTAAATATGTAAAACTTTGATGATCAAATTTTAGTCAGAATGGGACTAGTATGACTAAAACTGTAAATGTTCAAATCAAATAACCAATTGACATTTTGATTAAATTAAAAAAATTAAAAAATTATTCTTTAATAGATGTGAATTCTGATCTAATAAAAATCTAATAAAAATCATAAATAAAGATCTCTAGAAAATCTTACAAACCAAATTCTATCCATGATCTAAAGTTAATAGAAACTTAATCTAAAATAATTAAAGTACAAAAAAAAAAAAAAGAATTTCTAATACTATAATACTACTAATACTAATAATACTACTAATACTACTAATACTACTAATACAATTAATCAACACAAAATGAAAAAATAATAATAAAAAATAAAAATACATAGATCCATTAAATATTTTAAGCGGTCTTCAAACAACCTATCCAAAATTTTATGATTGGTAAATCGTTCTCATTGATATCAATATATTTAATAAATTCCTTTTGTTTAGTCGATTCCATGTTTGCTAAAGCATTTCCTCCTTCATTATTACTTTTTGTGATAAATATAAGGAATTGCTTTGCTTTGCTAAGTAGAGGCATAATAAAGTAAGTAAATAATTTTAAAAAATAGCAGCAAAAAAAAAAATTTAATTTTACCTTGACCATTGTTCTTTAAAAATCATTATTCTCGTATTCATTATTTCACTTGGTAAATTTAATTTCAAAATTCCTATCAACTGATTAATAAATGAATTAGGTGCAGAGTATATCCGTTTATTGTCTTTATCATCAATGCCATATTGTAAATTAAACTCAAATGCATTCGTCATAGCCTTATCTTTAGATGATTTATTACAGTCTCGTGAAATATGTATGCAAAAGTTAAGAAATAATAATATATCAAATTATTAAATGGTTCAATTCTTAAAAAAACAAGTATTCAACAATTTAAGGATATATAATAAACATAGGGTTGATTTGTTAACATCATTCGGTATTTGTGCCGTTGCATTTAGCCCGAGAATATTACATTTTGATATTGTCTGATAATTATTTTCATTTTCCATTATTGAACAACATTCACTTGGAACTAGATCCTGTTTCCAAATAATTATAATAGAAATAAATAAAAGTATTATTATATAATAAACAATAATTATTATAACATTATTAACCTTCAATATAGAAATAACGGATTGTACAATTTTTGGATCATTTCCTTTGATGACTAATTGATTACCCATGACAAAATTTAGAATTAGTTTTCTAAAAACATCTAAACCCAAAATATTATATAAAGCTTTCAAATCCTCAATTCTAGTCTCTTCCAAACAATTGAAGTCGGAAGGAGGGAACTTATAAGTTGCCACGGGATCAAGTAGCATTATCGTTTTTGATGAAAAAACGACAGAATTTGAAAACTAAAAATACGAAACATAAGTTAATCTAACTTATTTTTAAAAAATAATAAAATTTCATACCAGTGTCTGATCATTCAAGTGCTTTTCTTGTAAACGCATGCCACAAGCTTTTAAAATCCAACTGAAATTTGCATGTAATTGAACAAAAAAGTCCTTTTTGATAGTATTAAAAATTTATCAGACAAACAAAAAACGCAATTTCGATGAATTTCCAACAAATTTTTTTTTTTTATTTTGATATAAATCAACCTTTGATCTTAATAAATCAACCAGTGATCTTAATGGCTGATTTGCTCTGCGCCGAAGAAATTGATCTAATTAAATTAAATTTAAATTAGACCGAACAATAGTGGAAAATAATATAATAAAAAATTATTTACAAACCCGGAGATGTAGGGGAAAGTGGACCAGAACGTGTTAAAAATGTTCCATCATTCTTCTCCTCTTTTGTTGCATTTTCTTTTTCAAAAATTTGATTTGCTCTTGATTGAATGCTAGTTGCTAACGCACGGAACTTACTTAAAACCATAATTACATAAAATTAAAATAACAACTAATAAATTAATCATACTCATATCAAGATGAAATGTAAAAGTAAAAAAAAAATTCTACCTTACTAAAAACGGCCATGATTCGACAAGATATACTCTATCTGTCATCAAAAATGTGAAGCTGTACCATCTCTGAGAACCTCTTGCCTGGCTATCTTTAATTTTGAACATATAGCTCAAGACATAACCATTTTTATCGTCTCCAAATAAAACCGGCCCTTCTCTTCCTTGACAGAATTCGCAGCTCAGACTTGAAATTATATAATATAATTTTAGATATTTTAGATTTAAAAATACAGGAAAAATGAGAATTCTTTTATAAATAAGTTACCTTCTCACACAAGCCTGTCTTACAGCAGCGTATAATTGCTGATCTTGCGGATATCGAGTACCCTTATAAGTTACCAATGGATTTTCTTCGTCTCGAGTTTTGAAACCTTTTATTTCAGAATTATGAATTGTTTTCGCATCACTTAGTGAATCCAAGGGAGGCAAAGAAAATGCACAAGATGCACAAGATGCTGGTGCAGGTCTATTAGTGTTTACAGAATATTCTTTTTTATTCGATAATAATTCTTTGGAACTATCCGAATGTGTTTGGCCTGTTGAAGGGGATTTTCCTCCACTACTTACAGAAAGCTCATCTGAGATGTCTTCAACAGAATTAGCATGAAAGGCCTGTGTACAAAAAATTACACTTGGACCATCAACTTCGCAAAAGTGTACAAGAGACACGATTGCATTCATCGTGTAGCAACAAGCATATGAAGATAAAAAGAAAAGCGCGAAAAAAAAAAATTTTTTGTCGATCACGATCTACAGACATACTGATGTACGCATGATAATCGACAAACATATTTACTCCTTACTTCACTATAGTACGTTAGCACAGTTTTTTCTTCTTTATAATGGATATCTCGAGTCTTTTATTGGTAAGATCTTTATTTTTTCACACCATAAATTGTGATTAAAAATTAATTTTTAACAAATTAATAAACATTTTAGACCGAGTCAGAAGAACAATCGGTAAATTTGACATCGTCTTGGAATTTTGAAACAACTCCAGAAATCCCGCAATTACCTGCCGATATTATTTATCAAATCTTGCGAAACTTTCAATATTGTCGTTCATCTCTTTGCAAATTCCTTCAAATAAACCAAACGTGGTGTCATATTTCATTGATTTTTCTATGGAATTGTCCTTTTAGTGTATCTTTGAAAGCAAAAAATTCCGTTCTTTTAATTCGAACTTTGCTTTCTTTTCTTTCTGAACAGGAAAAATCCGAACTAAAACTCAATTTAACATGTTATGAATCAAATATTTCTAAAAACTCAACATATAATTATCTGGACTATATTCGTGTTTTTGATTTGAAACATTTTAGATTATCAATTTTACATTGGATATCTTATTTACGAAATAATAATGATGATGATTTCTTTTCTGATTCATTAATTGTGGAATTGAATAAAATTTATAAAGATATACCTATTAATTATTCTACCGTTAACTTAGCAAGTGAAATAATTTCTAATATGTTATTCAGAAAATGTGGTAATAATGGATTACAACATTTAGTTATTGAATATGATGATATAATTACTTCAAATTATGTTATTAGTAAAAATATAATATATCTTAATAATGACTTACCAAAATTAGTAAATTTTGATTTTCATTATAAATTGGAAGGAAATTTTGATAAAAATTTACTTATTGATAGGATCGTAGAAATGTTTGAAATTATGACGAAATCTGTAAAGAATTTAAGATGGTTAGAAGCAAATATTGAACATGAAGAACATCGATTACCAAAAATTGGAAAAGCTTTAGTGGAATTTATAGAAGAACAAAACAATTTAGAAGTATTGGGAATCAATGAATTTTGGATGTATGAAGAATCTGAAATTTATAGAAGAATTTGTAAAAGTCAACAAAAAAGTTTAAAACATGTTAGATTTTACGGAATGTGTAATTTTAAAGAATTGATAAAAGGATTAAGTGAATGCAAGAATTTAATTACATTGGAATTATTAAGAATATCTAAATATGATTCCAACATTATACCTATGAATGATGAATTGGAAAGTAAAGGATTAAGTATAAAGAATTTTTATACATGTGAAGTTATTTCTTTTGATGCTCCTGAAATAACAAATTATTTTATTCAAATAATCAATATGTCAAATAAGAATTTAAAAACCCTAACCTTAACTCATGTAACTCCTGATATCATTAAAACACTTGTAAAATTTTGTCCTAATATTACACATTTATCCATATACTTTACATTTTATTTTGATTTAATTCCTGATTTACTTTCAGTTTTACTTACTTCTTTACCACTTGAACAATTCTTATTAAAAATAGATAACGAAAATTCGGAATCAACTATTTATACACAAGATTATTGGAACAAAATTGCAAAATCCATTCCAGATTCTGTAATTCATCTGGGAATTGATTTTAAAATTGAAAAAAACATGTTGGATATGTTTCTAAAAGAATGTAAAGCTCAATTAAAGAAAATTTCATTATTTCAAAGATATATGTTAAATAGGCATTATTTACAAGTTGTAGTTCAATATGCAAAGAAAAACAATAATTTATTGAAAGAATTGGGATTTTTATGGGATCCAAAAGATTTTGGATTTATATCACATTCTAACCTAGAAGATGCAAAAAAGTTTATTAAAATTATTGGTAAAGTTGAACCTTTTAACAAGCCATTTTACGGTAAGTTCATAAATGATTTATCATTTATTACCTATTTTTTAAAAATAAATGTTAATTTTTGGTCTCAATTTTTATTCCTAACAGATATAAAGTTGAACATCCCACATAAAAAGGATCATTTATTGTCATCATTTTTGTCCTGTAAGAAGGGTTAAATTACTAAATTTGGTACATATTAAAATTTAATTACTAAATTTGGTACATAGTTAAATTTTAAAATGTGCAAATTTTCCTATATAACTTACACCTTAACACACCAACCTCAATATTCTTACCTAAAGTACGTATTTATTATAATCTTTGATTAATCTTATTTATTTTAGATAATCTAGATAATCTCAAATTTATATGAAAAATTTTAAAATAAAATCATTATGACTTGTTTTATTCCAAGGTATTTCTTAATTAATAATTTTCCCAACCAACTTGATCTAATTTATCAACTTTGGCTAAAACTTCACTTTCTTGTCTTTCCGTAAATTCTTGCATCTTTTGTAAATAACTAGGCATAAAAGCTCCTAAATGACGAACTGCTAATAATCCTGCATTTGTTGAGTTGTTAATTGCCACTGTTGCTACAGGAACTCCACGCTGTAATAAAACATATTATTGTTAATATAAAGAGCATTAAAAAAATAGTATCGTAGTTTCAACTTACGGGCATTTGAACAATGCTATAAAGAGAGTCCACGCCATCCAAACTTTTACCTTTAACAGGTACACCTATAACAAGCAAAGGAGTTAAAGCAGCAACCATACCAGGTAAATGGGCAGCACCGCCAGCACCTGCAATTATAGCTTTTAATCCTCTAACATGCGCAGTTTTCGCATATTCTACCATTCTCATTGGGGTTCTATGAGCCGACACTATGGATAATTCAAATGGCACATCAAATGATTTCAATACTTCTGCACATGCCTTCATTGTAGGCAAATCTGAATCGCTCCCCATAATAATTCCAACTAATGGCTGAATATTTTTTGACGATGTTGTTGAAGTATCATTTTCATCATCAATATTAAGAATTGGGTTAATTCTTTTATATAGTTGTGAAATAGAATCTGCAACTACTGTTATATGCCCCATTTTTCTCCCTTTTCTACATTCTTTCTTTCCATATAAATGAATAGTTGCTCCTGGTGTTGTCAAAGCTTCTACACATGGACCTAAAGTTTCATGTATATCTTCTGATTTCCCAAGAACATTAATCATTGCCGCTGCTGGAACTTTAAGAGATGTGCTTCCTATTGGCATATTTAATATACTGCGAATGTGATTTTCATATTGTGAAGTTTCACACGCTTCAATAGTATAATGTCCAGAATTATGCGGCCGCGGTGCAATTTCATTAATATATATTTGACCTATATACGTAAAATAAAATTAAATACCTAAATAACTTAAAAAATCCTAAAAAATTTAATTACCATTTACTTACCATTTTTCATCAAAAACATTTCTACCCCGAATATTCCAGCACCCTTTAAAGTTTGGATAGCTTTTTCGGCAATTTCTTTAGCGCATCTTAAGATAACGCCATCAACTTGAGCCGGAACAATAACTAAATGACATATATTTTCTTTATGAACTGTTTCTACTACAGGATAACTTTTGATTACACCATCAACACTTCTAATTACCATGACAGCCAGCTCTTTAACAAACGGTGTCCATCTTTCGACATACAATGGAATTTTAAAATTCCCTAAAGTCTTCAATGCGTCTGTAATTTCATCTTCAGAATTTATTACATAGTTCCCTCGACCATCATAAGCCAAAAGTTTAGATTTTAACATTATAGGGTAACTAAATTTTTCTATCGCAATATTTAATGATTCCTTATCAGGAATATCAATGAAATCTACAACAGGTATTTCATTTTGTGATAGATGAGTTTTTTGTAAAAATTTATCTTGAATAATACGAATTGTATAAGGGTGTGGATGTATTTCAACGCTTTTTTTGGAAAATAATTTTTCTAAGATTTCGACATCAACATGTTCGATTTCTATTGTCAGTACATCAACATTCTGCGCAAGTTCTTGAATTTTTAAAGGATCTTTGAAATCACCATGAACATGAGTTGACGTTGCTTGAATCTGTTTTGCTGGAGAGTTGACTGGACTATCAAGAATTGTTACAGATATATTCAGACGAGATGCTGCTTCTACTAACATACGACCTAATTGTCCGCCTCCTAATACTCCTATCTTCTTGGAATTCATATTTTTAATATATTTTATATATTTTATATGAAGTTGTCCATAATAAAAAAAAAATTCTAATTGATCATCAAGCCAATTAAAAGCATAGTTTACCGTTAATCTGATGCTTGATAATCTAATTAAAAACGTCATAATCTAACCAATCACTATGGATAATTTTTGATTTATCATGCAAGACTCTCCGGAATTTAAATATAAATTGTCAAGTAAAAATATTGATTATCTTCTTCTTATGAATATATCACAAAATAATAATTATGGCCGCTTTATCTTCAAATCTCGATAATACGGATAAATTAGTTAAAGAGAACAAAGCATTGAAACATAAAGTTGATACATTAGAAAAAGAAATTATGTTATTAAAAAAATCTATATATGACCTGTCTGTAAAATTTTCTTCATCATCAAATCAGAGAGTGATTAGTCCTTTTGTTATCGATAGTGGGGATGTTTCACAAGATAACTGTGGCGAAATTAATTTGGAGAATTCGACTTCTGGTAGGTAATCATAATTTATTTTCTTTTCTGATTAATGTTGTTTCTAGTTAAGAATTTGCTGTAGAATGACACGTAATATACAATGATACAGGTAATAATGCGCATGAAATACATCGTGAAGGAAGGACTTTTCATCCAAAATTTGAATTTAAGGTTTGAATAACTTGCTCTATTTTTTTTCAATTTACAAGTTCGAAAAACATTCATTTATTTATTTACTAAGGGACATGGAGGGGCAGTTTATGCAATACAATTTTCACCATGTGGAAAAATGATCGCGTCTGGATCATTTGATAAAACTGTTCGATTATGGGATACAATATTATTACAAAAGGAGGTATAATCTTATTAAAAAAAAATCATTTTAAATCAAGTTAACAAAATTGAAAAATCTTTTCTTTTAAAAAGCAAGCATGTTTAAAAGGACATAACTTAAATGTATCAGATGTTTGTTGGTCTAATGATTCAACATCAATATTATCAGGATCTTATGATCAAACATGTAAATTATGGGAAATAGAAACAAGTAGATATATCCATTCATTTGAATGTGAAGGATTTGTTCAATGTATCATGTTCAATCCTGCAGGTAATTTCTTTAAGTCATTTTTTTTATACTTGAAGCTTTATTTCTTTAGATATTTTGCTTAAAATTTTCTGATATAGATAATAATGTGTTTGCTAGTGGGACTTCAAGGAAAATATTAACAATAATGGATATACGTAAACCTGACAATGCACTTAAATTTAAGAATGACGGAATGATAAACTCACTTTATATTTGTCGAGATGGACAAAATATTATTACTGGAGATTCAAACGGGTATTTAAAAACTTGGGATATTAGAGCTGGTACGTAAATTAATTTTTTATTAAGTTTATAAACAATATTTAAATTTTTTTATGTATAGGGAGTGCATTACAGTCTCTTCTAAATGAATCGACAAAGAAACCAATTTCATGTGTTGCAGTTTCGAAGAGAGGTCATGGTAAGAATTGTAAGATTTTTTTTTGTGACATAATTACATGATTAGATTCTTTCTAATAAAGTTATTTAATAATATATTAGGTAATGATGAGGAACCTAGATATATGGCAGTTAATAGTTATGACAATGGTATATTAATAATAAGTAAACTTGTTTAGTTAATGAATATTATTCTAATATAAAAAATTAATATTTTAGTTATTAGAATTTATGATCGTGGAATTGAGCCACCAAAAACTCAACTCAAATTAATTCATATACTAAAAGGTTATAAGAATAAAGGATGGCCTATAAAATCTTCTTATTTCTTTGGAAAAGACTGTAAGAATTTAAGAATTTCGATATCAATTTTATAATTATTAATGCTATATTTATTTTTCTTAATTTTTGATATTAGATCAATATTCAACACAAAGGTTAACATATGATATCTATGATGATTCGCAGATGGATTCTGCTGACCATGTTGTGTAAGTTACTTAATTCAATTATTAAATATATAAAAAATGAATTTATTTAAGTTTTCTGAATAGATATGAGAAAGATAAGCCACTGGAGGCTAGTTTATTGTTGGCTACAGGAAGTGCAGATCCATATGCATATTTGTATAATGTTGGTGGACCAGAGGTAATTTAAACGATTAAAAGTTTTCTTTAAAAAATAACATTTTAAAAATTACAAACCTTTGTTTATTTATTTAGGAAACTGGAGAACTTATTCAAAGATTAGAAGGACATACAGATTTTGTATATGCAGTTGATTTTCATCCATTTGAACCAATATTGGCTAGTTGTTCTGCTGATTGTATTATAAAAATATGGGCTCCTAATGCAAAAGGAAAAAAGAAAGGTTAAGGATTATTTATTTTATAATATATTTTTCCATATTTATTAAAAACACTGTCAATTTTAGTTCAATATAATAATTATTATAAAAATAATTTTTATTATTTAATATATTTAAATATGACAAAATTGTACTTAAATAATATAAAATGTTATTTAATAAAAGCAATAATTAGTATAATAATTGATTTTTTAAAGTAAAAAACTTATATTTTTTTACATTTTATTAATTAAAATCTAGCATTTAGCTAAATAAATTTAAAATTAAAATTGTGTATTTTCATATGTGAATTTCATAATTTAAAATTAGTATTGAAGATTATATTTAAAATGCCTAATTATTATATAAAAGTTTGAAATTTTGCTTATTTAGATATTTAAAAGTTTTTTAGCTTATTAGATCTATTTCAATAATTTTTTTTTTTTTTTAGTTTATATACAATTCTTAAAATTTTAGTAATACAACCCATATAATTAATTCTTTCTCTTAAATTTATGTTACTAAATATATCCATTTTTGGAATACTTGTGATTAGTGTTATCAGAAAAAAATACTAGAGACGACATGATTGATGGTTTTTTGAGATACTAGAAAAATCAGATTCTTTTTATTTTCAACTTTTCCTATGTGAAGGAAATTATCAAAAGAGAAATGAAATTGGCTTATAATCCTCATGAAGACTTTGATCATACTACTAGAGACACTAGTTTTCAACAGGTAAGAAGAAAAGTAGAGTAGGGCCGGTGTGTTGAGTAGAGTATTGTGATGTTTAGCGGTGTGTAACATAAAGGGTGTGAACCATACTCAAGTGATGAATAGACACCCGGCCAAACCGCTGGGCCGAGCTTGGGCCGAGGTGTTTATTTATCACTTGAGTATAATGTCACATCCAACCATACTCTACTACTATTCGTATCACTCGGGAAAAATTGCTGGTTTAAGTTAATTCCAACTCCTGAAAAAGGCGAAAATGACAGCGAATAATCTAGTTCCTCGAAAAGGCGAGCAATCCCATCACTTGTTCATCATCTCGTATATTAACACTATATGGAATTATATCTGTTAGTAGCTGAAGTCAGTTCCAAGAACATAAAACCATGGGCTAGCCACAGTGATAATGAAGGATGGAACGCAACAGCAGTCTCGAATTTGTTTCACCCGAAATAGGAGATAAGCTTGCATTAAGAGGATAATCCCTTGTATTACAGGAAGTTTGAGGCTTGGCACGATTAAAGGTTATTATTAACAGTATTGTATTCTGCGCTAAAGAAAAAAATATTAATGTCTTGAAAAGGATGAAAATATAATACCTTTTTACTCCCTTTTTTTCTTTTGCCCTCCTTCTCTTGAAAATGAACGGTTTTTTTGGAGGTGTTTAATAATGAAATTATGAAAAAGCACAATATTTAGTAAGTAATTAGTATTATTAGAGAGACAAATCGTGGAACGCACCAACAGACATCTTCAATAGTTTCTCAAGTATGAAATTTTCGAAGTAATTAATATACAGTATATATGAATTCAAGGTTCTGATTGAGTGATTACATTATTAAAATTTTCATAATATTTAAAACGCGCTTTAAAATTATTAAAAAATGTGGCTCAGTTTATAATTGTTTTTGACTTAAATCATTACACCATTTATACACAGTTTTGTCAACTAAAGGTCAGCCATCAATTATACCGCGGTCCCTAATAATCATTCATGAATCAATTGAATCATGATTGATATAGATGTATCAATGTTAGTTAAAAAAAAACACGATGCAGCCGTGAAAATCACTACAATTCTCGTGAAATAACTATATAATATATCATTCGCGAACCTGATCGAAATTGTTAATAGAATATAATTATTATGAATCCAGTACTGCGCATTTGCAAAAAAATATCAATAATGGATACAGAAATTTAAAATAGAGCTCTTTATTATATTTATTCGTTAAGTAATACGTGAGAAAGGCGCTGGCCCTCGTTGGATTTTTCCAATATAAATCACTAAATCGTTTTGTTGTAATAAGGAGACAAAGTGAAGAGAAATAATTTTCTCAAAGTGAAGTAATGTAGAAAAGGAAGACATGAGACCTTCTTATTTTAGAGCTGAATGAATCTCATCCAAATAATAACTATTTTTTTGTATACAAACCGTTGTACACTTTACTTATTTTCCAGACAAGGTTCGCTATATAAATTTTTGTATTTAGGTCCGTTGAAATTTTTTTTTAGAGTTTTTAGAAATGATTGGTTCTTTTCTGTTGACAGCCCTTATATTAATAACTTATTATAACGAATTTTTTCTTGTACCTGTTTTTTTCTGTGTATACCAAATTTTCCAGTTGATACAAGATTTTCCCATTTTTGTTAACGAATTTTCTTATTTTCCTAGACAAAAAAATGAACTGACTGTATATCCTTTGTAAAACAGCTTCATCTTGAATAAAAAATAATGTTTACTAATAAAAGAATTCATAATTATTTTAAATGTGTAATTTTAGTTTCCAATTTTCCATCATAAATTTTCATATTGTATTTTCAGAAAATATACATATTTCCTTTTTATCCATTAAATGACCTAAAAATGTAAACATTTCCTATTACAGATTTTATTAATTCAGCAATTAGAATAATTGGAATTCATCGATTTATGGAATTCATCAATTAATTGCCAACTGCAATTCAGCAATTCATACTGCGATTATCTTCAGATGACGTAAATGACGTAAATGTTTCAAGTATAAATAATTAATCTAGTGATGAATGGCACATCTCTCATATAAATATAGTAAAAAAAAAAATATATGATGATCGTACCCTAAAACAAGATAATAAATTCAATGTAATATTAATATTCGCTAGTTTAGTTTTAGTGGCCCTTGGTAGATAATGTAGCTTATCCGGAAGAAATGGAATTGTGTAAAATGAAAATTGTTTTTTTGGATGAAAACTTTTTTTAGGCACAGTATAAATTGTTAACTATTTGCATTCTTCTCTAATGATAATAGAATATCCTATAATAATTTCATATTGGTACCTAAAATGAATGGCAAACCTTAAAAAAAAAGATGCCACCCAATATTTCCAAAGTCTGCAATAGTTTTACTTTTCATTCTTGTATATTACTTTTTAAGAAATCAATAAACAATAATGGATAATCACAATATGAAGTGGCGTGACAGCGGCACAGCTTATTTTTTTACATTCATTCCAAAAAAGGTTAAATCTGTTTAGATTTTCCTTTCGTAATTTAAAATTAGATGAATTTTTGTGGCCGTAAAACTAATAATATCGTTAAAGATAGATTATCTAAGTAATACAATTTTGTCGGAAAATATTACATTGTTAATTATATATTATAAATTTCCATTTAAAATTATAATGCGAAAAATATAACAATACCTTATGTCATTTATACTCTCAATTATACTTGCTTTTATATCTTATAATTGGTGGTTATAATTAGTAATTTTGAAGAATTCGTAGACCTATTGTACCATAAAGATATAAAAATTTATGTTTTTAACGAAAGTTTGAAATAAAATATCTTTGTAAGAAAAAAAAATAAAATAACTATAATTTTTGAATAAAAATTTTCCGTGAAAACTCTTTTGTTAAAAATTATATATGATTCTTACTTTAAGACTTTTGTTTTCAACTGTACTTTCACTCCTTTAAAAAACTATCAAAATGCCAAAAAATATGACTAAAAATGATCGTGACAAATCAAAGAATATTCAAACATTAAGATCAAATTCAATTTCCTTCATTATAACTTCACATCTTTCTCAATTTCGACGCATCCATAAAATTTTTCCTACCAACCTTTCTCTCGAAAAACTTTTGACTCCTTCTGATACAAAACCTCCACGTAAGAAATCATTTTCATTACGACCTCCAAATGGATTCATTCTTTACCGAAAAGACGTTCAACAAGAAATCATGAAAAATAATTCAGATGTGACATTTAAAACAGTTTCCTCTATTGCTTCAAAAAAGTGGAAATGTGAATCAGAGGAGAAGAAAAACTTTTTTAACTCCTTATCAAGAGTTGCACATCTTGTATATTTGGATATTTGTGAGAGTTACGTGGAACAAAATAAAGAACGTATAAATTTTAATCTTCATCAAGTGGAAAATTCTAAGAAAGATTCGGAAAGACCATGGATGCAATCTTCAATTTTTCCGACTATGCTAGTTTCACCTAATTCTTCTCACGGTGAAAAAAATGACGAAATTGAATTGCAAAAAATTAATGATGATAAGCTTGACCAATCATTTTATGATGATTTCATTAAAGTTCCATCGATTCCTCCTTCTTATAATATTTTAGATGTTGATCATCATTCGTCTATTCCTCCTCCTTCAATTTTAAACACTAACGTAGATTCTTCGAATTACTACTTTGAAATCCCATATATACCTGATTTTTTACTAAATAGTAATAGTAATTTCGATAATATGTATCAAATTCCTTCACATGATTCACATGAAAGTAAAACTATGCAATTTGATTATGAAAATGATTATTTGTATATCTTAAACAATCATAGTTCTTTCTTTAACAGTATGAGTGACGAAACTTTATAAATTAACCTTTTTGATATTAATTATAAACAAATAAACAAGTTCAATTGTTAACTTATGTAACTAAAAAATTTTTTAAAGTTTAACATTGTTTATTATCTAAAATGTTAGGCTGTTACACCATTATTTCATGTGACTATCGTAGTGATCTATAAATATACTCGACTTTTTTAAATGGTTTTCCTTTGAAAGTTATATACTTTTAAAATTAATTGCAAATATCTGTCGTGTCAAACAAAATGGCCCATTTAACGCTTAATAAATATAACTGTAACGAACCTACTCAAAGTGGTCAAGGTGGTAATACTTTGGGTGGAGTTTTAACATATTCATATAGGTGGAAAATAACAAACTGGAGCGAAGTGCAGCCTTTTATGGAACATACTAGTCCATCTTTTGGTGCTGACGGTTTACAATGGTTTTTATCGGCTTGATTTTATTATTTATAAAATGCTTAGTTTGCTATTAATTAATTAATGATTATTTAATATACCGTGTTTTATAGGGTCTTCAAGGTAATTTTTTAATAAGCTACAATAAAATTTACAATTTTGCATTAATAACTATTACTTAATTATGCAATAATACGATTAGTTCTATAAAGGACGTCAGAAGAATCCTCAAGTAAGATTGTTTATTCACTTTTCGTAATTAAAATCAAATTATTTTTGATTTGAATTAATTATCCATTATAATTTAATATGCGTATAGGCCTTGTCATTGTATTTAGGGATTTTAGAGACAACGCCAGGATGCCTTCGTGGAATCCGGAAGAAAGTCGGTATTATCTTTGTTTTGGAAAATTTGAGAACAAGAGGAATGGATTTTGGAAAAAGTACGTTTAAATTAAACTGTTTTTTTTTGTTATAAAGTTGAAGTCGTATTAAACTTTTGTTTTACAAATTTTTTATTGTATCCTTTACATAAAAGTGGAGTTGCCTGTTTGGTTTTGTGATAGTATGTATATCTGATTTTGTTTGAAATCTTTTATCTGATGGAATGGTATTAATTTTCTGGAAAAATGATCAGAACATTCTACATGGGGGGAAGAAAATCTTATGTCATTGGAGGAAATGGATCGGTGACTATTTTTATTAATAAGTTATTTATTCGTTTTTTTTTTAAAAAAAAAATTTTATTAATATCTTATTTATTAAATAGATTTATCAGTAACGATACAATATCCTTACTTGTAAAATTCGAGATTCACGAATCTATTATAGATGCGCAACCCATAATTAATAATCCATTTGACAAATTAGTAAACTCGCCTCGTTTCTCTGATATTAAATTTCGTGTAATTGATTCTAAATCACGTGAGAAATTGTTCTATGCGCACAAAGGAATCTTGGCAAGTTCATCTTCAGTATTTGAAGCAATGTTGACAAACGGAATGAAAGAGACTTTTGAAGATGAAATTCAATTATGTCAAACAAATCATTCCGCTTTCCTTTCATTATTGAAATTTATATATACTTTTAAAGTTAATATTACATCCTTATGTGATGCTGAAAATTTATTGGCATTAGCTGATAGATTCGCAATCGTCCCCGTACGAGAGGAATGTTTACGCTATTTCCGTTTAGAATTGAATTATGATAATGTATGGGGAATTTGGGCTATTGCTGGTAAATTGTTTATCTTATGATAAATATGTTTTTTTTTTCTTTTACTTTAACTAATCTAATACTTAATTTTATAATTTAACTAAATTAAACAATGACATAAAGAGAAATATTCTTGCACTAAAACGTCAACAACTTGTCGTGATTTCGTTGCACTTAATCTTGATACATTGCTGGATAAGCAATCTACGTTACACGCTGATCCAAATATTTTACGACTTGCACTCGAAAATGACGAAGCAAATTCTAATTCGGAAGAAAAGATTTACGAATTAGTTGTTCGATGGGCCAACTACTCATACTCTTCCGATACATCCTCACCAAAAAATTCCACCAACACTCAAGTTGATTCCTTATCAACAACATCATCACAAAGTTCATCATCTACCGCATCAATGCCATCAGAACTTCCCGAAAGTTTAAACGAAAATTTGGAAGATTCTATAAATTACCTTATAATAACTGATAATTCCGATACTGGAACTCTTAACGAATTAAATAAAGAAATAGATGTTGAAAACGATGAGGAGTACGATATAGATAAATTTCCTAAGCCCTGGCGCGGTGATAGACTTGCTGCGCTTCCTTCTTTATTGAATTGTGTTCGATTTCCCATAATGAAAAAACAATATATTTGTGAAAAAGTTGATGGAAATCCTACCATAATGGCAACAGATGGGATGAAAGATTTAGTAAGCAATATTAATTTCATACATATTAATAAATGAATAATTTTTAATTGAAATCTTTTTTAAATAATTTTTTTAGGTAATCGAAGCATATCGACATCATTTAATGTTAGAATTACCCAGCTCGGTTGCTAGTAACAGAGTTAATCATCGAAGACGTAAAATGAAAATTATTGATTAGTTAACTTTATGTAAATATTTCAATTTTGAAAATTAATTTGGTGCAATAAATTACCTTTTTAAAAGTAAATTTTCCTATTCATATTCACGTGATTCACAAATTGACAAATAAGAAATTGCCACAGTAACTGATTTAACCAATCAAATTGTTATAATGTATACCGAAAAACTAATTTAAATAGTAAAATACTTCTTTCATAGAATAGGAAATTAGAAAATTGAATTCGTATATTCTGTGTATAATGGCGATACCTGTTGAAGAATGGTATTATGAAGTCCCAATAGTCACAAGAACATACGTTACTGCTTCTGTGTTAACGAGCTTAGCAGTGGTATGTAAAGAATTTTTAAATACCTGAAAAACATTATCAAATATTTAATTTTATTTTATTCTTTGAATCAGCAAGTTGGTTTTGTAAATCAATTTCAACTTTATTTCACTTTTGATAAAACATTTTATGATCGCCAGGTAAAAAATTATTTAAGCTTTTTAAAATTTTTTAAAGTATATTTTTTTTCTTATTTTTCTGATTTACTTTTATTAGTATTGGCGGTTTATAACGACATTCCTATATTTTGGGCCATTTTCACTTGATTTCTTATATCACATGTTTTTTCTGTATCCTTTTTCATCTGAAGAATAAAATTTGATTTAAATATTGTAATTACAATATTATCCTTGACCAAAAATTTTTTTAATTAAAAATTATTAGTGTGAGATATAGTAGAATGTTAGAAGAAGGATCATTTCGTAATCGAGCAGCCGATTACTTTTGGTTACTTTTCTTATCATCAGTAGCATTACTAGTAAGTTTCACGATAATAATTGGGTTGTATCTTTTAGAATTATTTACTTATTTAATACTAAACCTTCTTCTTTTTTCTTTTTCATTTTCTTTCTTTTTTTTTTTTTTATTGTGTAGGTTTTATCCCCACTATCCAATGTACCATTTCTTGGATATTCACTTGCATTTACTTTAGTGTATATATGGTCACGAAGAAATCCTCTTATAAGATTAAATTTTATTGGATTATTTGTATTCAGTGCACCATTTTTACCTTGGGTATTACTTGGATTTTCATTATTATTGAATAATCATTTTCCAATGAGTGATATGATGGGTATTGCTGTTGGTCATATTTATTATTTCTTTGAAGATGTTTGGCCATCAGAAAGAATTAGTGGTGGTAGACGTTGGTTAAAAACTCCCCGAATAATGTAAGGTTTAGCCCGATTTTTGCTGCTGAGATAATGCAGAAATAAAAAAAAATATTAATTTATATTTTAATTTTTTCTTTTAGCGTAAGATTATTTGAAGGAATTCAAGAAAATCCTCCTGTATTACAAGAAGAGATATTTGTTGATAATGGATTTAATAATATTCCTGATACCGTAGAAAATCGGCCGGGATTAACGGAAGGTGAAATACCTCCTGATCAACAACCACCAAGATCTTCGAGGTAAATATTATTTTAAAAACACCATCAAAAAATAAATATGCCCATATATTAATCACATGATTATTTTATAGTTAATTATTAAACGATACATTAAGGTTAATGTGTTGGTCAATTATTATAGGAGTAGAATAATTTATTATGTAAAAATAGTATAATGCAGCAATAGCTTAATATTCATACAAGTAATAATCATTTAATAATAGAATAGATTGTGAAAAAATTTTGTTTAAAAATACAATAATTATAATTAAATTTATTCAAAAAACAATTTAAATAGCAAAATAATATTTAATTATTTTGTGTATTGACAAATCAGGCATAGTCTACTCCAAATGTTAAGTTACTATTTATTGTCCATTAATAAAATCTAAAGTTTTAGTGGAACCATTGGTGGCATTCCGTCATCATCTCTTGATCCACCATGACTGTGTCCCCGAACAAATCCGCGAATTGGTGTCTTAACTACTCCCGTTTTCATTTCTTTTTGTTGTTTGTCGTGAGTATGTTCTGAATCGTGGCAAATTGGGCATTTTGGTGGTTTACTCAAAGATGTAAGTAAGACAGTATGTCGAACTTTGGATCCAACTAACATTCTCCCACTGCTTTCTGGTGGATTAGGTAAACCATCACCAGTTAAAAGACATGTTTCATGAAAGGCATGACGGCAAAAGAATATAATTATTGATGAAACTGAATCGGCGGCAACTTCAAATAATAAAAAAATTATCATTAGTTTATCAAAAGACATACTTTTATATGTTTGAATAGCCAAATTAAAAATTATAAAATTATTGTATATTACCGTCTTTGGTTATAAGGTTGGAACAAATAGAACAAGTTAAATCATCTAAAAAAAATAAAAATAAATGAAATATATGAAATACTCGAAAAAATATTAAAATAGCTTTATAAGATAAATTATATACAAACCTCCACTAATGCCACGTTTTTGCGCTTTTTGCAGTTGATTAGCCATGGCTACACTATCACTAACTAATATTTTCTGACACCCTTCTCTTAATGATGCCTAAAATATCATAATTTTGACTTAGGATAAAATAAATAAATATATATATATGCGTATTATACATACCTGTAAATTGAAATCTTGAAGAACTTTAATTAATGCATTTTTAAGACCAGGAATTTCCATACCATCAGGAATTCTTTTAATCAGTTGTATCGGGTCAATATTAGCACCGCCGAGATTTTCCAATAAACCAATTATAAATTCTGTATCAATTAGACAAGAAAAAAAATTTAGTTGGGATCCAATTAATAAATTATAATAAAATAAAAAAAAAATTACTTGGTTTGTCTAATGAATATGTTAACAAATCTTCCCATAATACATCATCATCTTGCTCTTTAGCAAAATCAATTGCCTAGTTTATATAGAAATAAGAAATTTGTTAACTCTCAAAATAAATAACCTTCTATAATTTTATTAGAAGACTTACTAGCTGGACATCATTCAATCTTCCGATAATTAACATAAGCGCCTCTTTGTTATTGCCCATGCGGCCAAGTATAAATACCATTTCTGGGACTAAATCTCTTTGTTCACATATTTTATATGCCTTAAAATAAGAAGATAATAATTTAATAATTTAATTCGACTTAATAAATAATAATTAATAAGTAACTAAGTAGCAATTCATACATGTTCCAAAGTATAATAATTACTAGATCTCAAAAATTCTATCAATCTCTGATAATCATATTCAGCATATAATTCAATCTGACGGTCATGAAATTCGTATCCTGCATGATGATCTTTCACAAATAGAGCATCTAAATATATATGCAGAAAGGAAGGTTCTTTTTCCAGTTGACGTACGACATGAGAGATCTAGTGTGATAATTAAAATAAAAATAATGTAAGATTTCAAGTCAAATTCAGGGTGCATCAGTATTCAGAATCCTTACACTAATATGTTCGGTATTTTCTACTAATAATTGCACTGCTTGCATATCGGTAGGTTTCTTTCGTTTAATTTTGATTTGTGGTTTATTTGGATCTGGATTTAATTTTGCGAACTCTTCATCCTGCGCCTTCTCAACCCCTTTAAACAAATGTTGATTAAATTCCATAAGTAATAAAACTTTGTCTTGGATCGCCGAAAATAAACCGTGTTCTCGTATTAAGACAAAGGCATTAGGTCTACGCAATCGGAGGTTATATTCAAGAGCTTTATCTGGTTGGCCACAATATGCGTATCTGAAGTAGAATTAAGCAAATTAATAATCATTTTAAATATCATTTTGTAATCTTAGTAGCAACTTAAAAATTTAACGTACAATTCTGCTAAGCATTCCATCAAAGTTTGATTATTCTGTTCTTTTTCAAAGATGTCTTCAACAAGTACGATAACATTTTGTACGCTATAAATACTCGGTGGCCAGCTCGTTAACGTATATAACAAAGCCTTTAAAAATGTGATATGTTCTCATTAAATTATACGTTTAGAATAAAACAACAATTTTATAAAGGCTACCTTATGATCGTGATTTAGGAAGTGAGCAAAAACCATTTCGTAAACCGTGCTACTAAGTTGCGGTTTCTCAAACGGTATATAAGGGGTGATTGCCTAATAAATACAGTAAATAAATTAACAGAATGATAACACCAAACAAATAATCAACCTGTTAAATATTTACTTGTAGTTGTCTCAAATTTGCAAATGTAAAGACCCATTTTTCCCATAGCTCACGGTTATCTTTAAGAATTCTTTCACAATTTTCTGCGGCCTTTATAAATTCCTCTAATAAAATGAATGTATAAAGTAAGTTAGGTTGAAATAGAAGAATAGAACAATAATTTGCTATTAAGACCAAATACCTTCTTCAATTAAATAAGTTAAATATCTTTCACCAAGATCTGTTAAATTAAAGATCTTACTTCCGCCCCAAGCTTGAGCTTCTTGTAATGATGATAATGCTTCTTCATATCTTGAACGTTCTAATAACCAACTAATATGATCATCCAAATCACGAGGTTTTGCTAGAACGAGATCTTTAGGGCTGACAACATAAAACATGTCTTCTGAAGGAAAATAATCAAGCTCATAGTCATTCGCTTGATAATATTGAAAACCATGTAGCGACAATGCATCAGTCGAAATTTCCTCATTATGAGAATTGATGATACGTAACTCCGGGCGTTTGGCACGCTATGAATTCAATAAATGATTATACTACTTAATAATAGAAATCTTCATATTCATATAGAAGCAATGGATGTAATGATAAATAATACAAACTGGTCTTCTATGTTGAGACGGATCATCCGTCTCCATATCTTGTACAATTTCATCAGTAAGGTATGCTAAGACGAGTATCATATCGTTAAATGGTGCTATACCACATACAATAAATTCGGTACGAAACCTATTATTTATTTTATAATGTACGATATTAATTTTAGATATAGATTTAATTAAAAAAAAAAAACCCTTACGTAGAAACTTCAACATATTGAGTTGGTCGACCGGGTTGAATTTCATGCTTAGCATATTCCTAATTAAGTATACAGAAAAGAAGAAGTTTTATTAAGTTAAAATTTAAAATAATTAATTACCATTATCCATCCTATTACCTTGACAACAGCAGTCTGAATAAAATTTGCCCAACCAACTAGCAATGTGGTTTCATTGCGCCATGTAAGATTACAACGATATAAATCAGCTCGAGGACTATCTGGTGGACGTTTAATATATGTAATCCTTTGTTGTATCTGCGTATTGTAAATTTTTACACCCTACAAATGTTGACAAATTTGTTTAAATACATTTCGTAAAAAATTTATTGATAGAAAACAAATTATTAATATATACCTCATCATTAGCATAAGCAATTAGCGGTCCCTTCCACCTTACAGCACTAATTGGACCTTCTCCGGAATGTTGAAGTACTGTATCTTGTTTCTGACCAAACCATCCTACAGGAGTCACAAGCGCTGGATGAATCATTAAAAATTAAAAATATATGTAAAACTAGTTTAAGAAGAATGAATGAATAAAATTCTTTACCTTTTTCATTCAGGTTTAATACACCCGACATACCACCACAAACAAATCGTTGCGTATCTTTTTTATGAAAATCAGGATCAAGCGAAATACATTTAAGGGGTCGGCGATAATTAAAGACTTGTGGTTTTGTATCATTGAATAAACTGTGAATGATGATTTTGCCTGTGATATAATAAATTTATTTAGATCGCATTATATATTGTGATAAAAAAGTTCAGATTGAAAAAATAGAGACCATCTAAAGATGCACTGGCGATATATTCCCCTGATACTTCAATGGCAATATCTGTTACTGAAGCTACATGCGATGATAAGCGTTTGTTTAAATTGCCATCAAAATCGAGTATTAAGACATCTCCATTGTGCGTTCCAAGAGCCTTAAGTTGATAAGGGATAAAAATTAATATTGAATGAAATCTATTTAATCAACGTCGACTCGCAAAAACCTTAATACATACTACAAATCTATCTGACACAGACATTGCACTCGCGGCATCTTTTTTCAATAACTCACTAATATCAGCCTCAAGACGTTTATATTTCAACTTTGGTTCATCCTCCTCAATCGATTCTTCCTCGGTTGTTTCCCCGTCCTCGTCGTCCTCCTCTTCAGAATCGGTTTCAGCTTCAGAGGAAGATTCTCTCTTTTCTTCAACCAATTCATCTTCGGTACCTTCATTTTCTTCTTTTGGTGATTGTTGTTGTATAACTTCTTCGTTTTGTTCCATTTTTTAAGGTAGAGAACTGACGGATAAATATCATAGATCATTTTGGTAACACCATATATGCAGTTCCGTACCTCGCTTAAATATGATTGGCTGTAAAAAATGATCGATCTTAATTTACAAATATGCAGGGCACATCTATTAATCAAAATGACTCGCACCCTAAAAAAACAACAGATCTGTCCATTTTACTAACTAGTTAAATTAAATTGTTAGCTACATTTTAACAAATTTAAAAAATGAATCATTTTAACTATTAGTACTAGAAGTAAATTTTACTGTTAATTTAAATTTAATTTACTATAAGATTTATCACATTATATGATATATATTTGAATTTTTTTTTGACAAATTACTCTTAAAGAGAGCAATATGCTTTATTTAAAAAATAATATATTATGCTTTCTAACTGAGCCAACCATCTGTCCAGCAGATATTTCCAATGTGCATAATTTTTTATATTTAAAATTGCTTTAAAATTACAAAAAAAGAATAGATATAATTGATTGAACTAGGCTATTTTCCTAAACAATAAAAAGAAGTTATGGTATTTCCTATTGTTAAACCAAAGCCCTTTAATTGTGAATTATCAAATTCTTATCTGATTACTTTGCTTGAAACAACTCATAAAGCACTTATATCATTCCTTAATCAATGATTAGCAAGAATTTTGAATATATATAACTGTTTTAAAAGTATATTATTACAAAATAGCAAAAAAAAAATAATAATTCAAAAGTTAATAATATTTAAAAATTGTAATTAATTATTATTATATAACTTTAGTTTGGTTTTAATTTAAGTCAAACTGAAATTATAAATTAGTAATTACTAAAAACTGAACTGATTTACCAATTTATTATTATTAGTCTAATTTTTTTAATCTTATTTTTATTAAATTATTAATTATAATTATTAAAATAGTTAAAAATATTGTTAAAAATATTATAAAAAGTATTTATTTTTATAATATTTTTTTAAAAAATATTATTTTTATATTAAAACAATTAAATATATTGCAAATAAATCCATTATTTATATTATTAAATTATTAATTAAAAAGTATTAAAATAACAAAAAAATTTTTATTTTTCATTTAATAATTAATTATTTTTTTTTACTATAAAATTGATTCATTAACTGAAAGCTTTATAATTATATTATTATTAATTATAATATTTATTTTATATATATATATATTATTTTTACATTCTTTTATTCTTTTATTTATAAAATTTAATAAAAATAATATTTATAAATACTTTATAAATAAATGCAAAATTATTTTTTATTTTAAAATTTTAATTTAAAATCAAAAACTCAATTTATTTAGTATATATATAATTAATAATAAATTTTAAATAAATTATTAAGCTTAAATTTTTAATTTTTTTTTAGTAAAATATATATATAATTTTAATTTAATTTATAGTTAAACCTATTTTTAATCTTATATTTTTTTATTGCAAATTAAATACTATTATTTTAATTTATATAAGTTATCATCTTATATCAGATATAATTAATTAGCTAATAAACTAATTATATTAGGTTAACTTATATGTTATTTAATTTTTTATAAATAATTCATTCAACCTTTGCAAAAAAAAATTTTCCAACTTATTTACTTGTTTAATGTTACTATTTTTTTATTAGTTCTAATTTTTTCAATTAAAGAATTGAATGCTAAACAATTAATAAATTTTTTTAAAAAAAATGATAATTATATTAATACTTTAATAGTTTAAAAAGTTAATAATAAACTAAACATATGTTGTTAGCATATTGCTAAACTCCAGAATTGGAAAAATCTTCTTGGTTTTTATTTGCTTTATCATTTTGCAAATCAGAATAAAATGATTATATATTATAAAATCAAAAAGTTTCCAATCTTCAATTAGTAATAAGAAAGTTTTCTGTTATCTTAAAAATAATACTGTATTTATACATTCAAAAATTACTTAGAAAATAAAGATATGTGATAATTGATGGATTATGTTGGCAAGACAATTCTAATTTATTTGTCTCAGAAGATTAAGCTTGGAGTAACTATTTAGTATACGCCAGTATTTACAGGACTTTTTACTGGCCTTAGTTAAGATTATATCTGGAGATTATACTGTAAATGGGATAGAAATTCCCAGATACAACTTATTTTATGCTAACAATAATGGGTAGCACCACTGTTAATAGTCATATTTTACATAAAAAATGAGAATGTTCAATTATCATGACACATTTATTCTGCCACTGTTTGCTTACACTCATTGCATAAGCCCAAGATCATTTTCAGATGGTGATTAATGAAGTTTATTAAACTTTTTTTTTTTTGCAAGAACACTTATTTCATCTTTGACGTCTTTCTTTTAACAAGAAATATGGTAGGGCAAGTATAAATATAACCCATTATGTATAATGTATAATAACAAGGATATTTTTTAATCAGATTACAATACTCTGTTAAACATAATTGTAAAATCGATGATCGGCGCATGTAGCCGAATATTTTGACATACCGATATATATTGATATAACAAAAAAATTTTATTTCTCATTGTACGAGAGTATAAATATCGGTATAATTTGTCATGACGATATTTATTTTCATATGAACCCTGACATATTATACATATCATTATATCGGAGTATTGTTTAGCGAACCATTGTAAATTGGACATTAAGTATAAAAAAAAAAGGTCTACTCGAATGCGAAATGATTTCAGTCTCAAAGTAAAGTAACGGTTAAATGGTCTTTATTGAATGTGTTTATGTAAATGTTCTACAGGATACAATAATAACTTTTTTAAGTATCGGTGAAGTTAGTCATAGTTGATTGTATATTTGGGAATATATTTGGATATAATCGTAAAGTGAAAAGTGGAAAAGTAATTTTATTTTTAGTTCTTTTATAATCACTCAAATAGACTATTTTTAATTAATTATACGATACAAAGATTCTATACGCCCGCTTTATGGTTTTTGATTCGAGCAACCATTTGCAGACGAACGAATGGCATTAAGATTTAAGAATAGCACTTTAGACATTGATTGTTAAAAAACGCTTTTAATTCGACTTTCAATTGCTTTAAAAAAAATATTTTTTTAATCTGTTTGTATAATCCGCTTAGGAACTATTAATTATAATGAGGCACTTCGTGAGAAATCTATATTTGTGCGCGCGTAATGTATTATAAAGTGACATCTCTGTTTTTAGTCAATACATATTTCTTTCTGTAAAAAAGACGGCTACCATAAAACTCGTGTATCAACAGACCAGCTATGCCAAAAATTTATAAAAAAAAAAGGTTTTCGGGAAGGAAGAAAAGTTCGGCTTTTTGTCAATATTAGACTTGAAGATAGAATGTCTGGTGCTATCTCCCTGTTGATCCATTACTTCGTGAAAAAATTATTATCCTAATCATGTGTAGCAAGAGAAATGAATTCTCGGCGTTTCCAATTACGGAGAAGAACATGGTTTGATTGTTTAAAATTTTGTATAGTTACCGTTGTATTTATTAGAACATCAAAAGTGATTGAGGTTTAATATACTATTATTTTGAATTAGCTATTTGGTTACTTGCACCTATCTTCGTGAGTTGACTTATTCTTTTTACCGTAATTCTAATTATAGGCTCTAAAAAAAATATATATATATATATTTTTACATTTATACAATCTTGTACCTTGATCAGCTAAAATATTATGCACGTGTTTATGAAAAATTTTAGATCAGCGGACATCAATACATCATCTCCGCCAGCTAATAATGTTTGATCATTACAATTTTTTATACGATCTCTGTAGATAAATCTATTGTTTGATTGTGTCATAATTTTTATACTCTAACTATAACTTATAAAAGGCCTCTCTATCCAAAAAATTTTAATTTTTTAAAAAAACTCTTTTCTTTTTCTATCGTCCCTCACTTGTTTCGTTCCTTTGTCTTTTGTCTTTTCTATTTCTACTTCATACCTTCCTTTCTCAAAAAGCTCTTGTTAAAAATATTTAACCTTATTTTTTTTTATATGTATATTTTGTTAAGTCGTTAAGATACCTCTTACACACTCTCTCCCTTGGTGCGGTATAGTGGTTAGGGCATAGCCTTAACTCATCCTTAGTATGATTTATAGATGAAAGTAAAACAAGGTAAGAGACCTGTTCCTTACTGATAACACATGCGTCATCTCAGGATACCGAATCATTATAATTTAATGGTTAAATTATAATGAGGGTGCCGCAAAATCTTCTCTTACATGGCAGGACCATGATAAGGATCCATACTTTATTGGAGGTTGGAGGAAAGTATGTTAAGTGGGGTGGTAAGTATCTGATTGGCGGTCCCTAATAAGGGTGACGTTAAATTCCTTAATTCCTATTCGTTTTCTTGATGACAGCTATTTATAAATTACCTTTTTTACTAATTGTCGTTACAGTGACCCGTGTTACTTATACATCGGTGTTCTTTTGATTTTGTAGGTATTTTTCGGTAGATCCAAAGTCTATTCAGTTCAATGTATCAATAATTTTAATAATAGAAAGTTCTGAACTGCAGCTTTTTTTTTGAATATAATTAGAATAAGTAAGGAGATAAGAATATTTTCGCGATGAATTTTTGATTATAAACTGCGTCAGTTGATTAAAATGTTTAAACCGCGTTATATATATTCAAATATAGCAAAAAGAGTTGTCTACATATTCATAAATATTGTATATTATAATGCTTTGAAAAGAATAAATTAAATTTTAATATCTGTATTACTATTTTGTGTACCTTTCACTATATTTTTTATTTTTTAACCTATAGAACAAAAATATTAGCAATTTATCCATAAATTGCTACATTCTTTCACAGACGATATCTACGATAAATAATAACAGTTTTGCCCTGTCTTTTTATATTATGTTAAAAGACCCGCAATAATATATTTTCAATAAGGTAGGATGATGGCGTTCATACGAAAATTTTGATTTTAACGAAATGTTCCCAATTTCCTAATTTAATGTTGGAACTCGAGAAAGAAGCATTATCATTGACAGCGGATTAATTAGGCCAGAATACCCAACTGATTAAATGTTTTTTATCTTGTTTTGAAATTTGTACATAATTGTTTCATTAAATACTTGAAATAAGAAAATCATTCCTTTTTATTAATTATTTCTCACAACTTTGGGGTAAAGATAATCTTACACTGGGGTCATTGCTACTACGCCATGGCTACTGCGCATAATTGATTTCGCAGCATGACATGTGTTGCTGCGGGTCTGTGGTTGCTCAATAATAATTAACACTGCATAAAATACGTCAATGGGTCGAGAGGCACAGTACTTTATATGCAGTGCAAACAATGACTCAAGATTCATCGCATTCAATTGGTAATTAATTAATTAGAAAGTAAAATTTTTATGGGTTTATTTGCAAAACAATTAAAAAAAAAAACATTACTGTTTTTGACTTTTGTTGTTGGTGTGATATGACGCAGATGAAAATGATATGTTCTGTACTACATATAACTTCATAAATAATTTCAGAAGTAAAATTTCTTTATGCAAAGTAAATCCTATATATGTTCATAATTGCGATTTTAACTGTTAATTTAAAAATTCAATTCAAAGAAAATTTAATTTTTAAACGGAGTTACCGGATCTGAAATCCATCATCCTTTTTTTTTTAAAAAAAAAAAATGAGCAAACTCATGATGAAACATCCCTTCTAAGATTACAAATGTAAAACTTTTAATATTTTATGAAAATTAATCTATCGGAGTAATTTAAACGATTTAAAATTTTGAAACTCTTAATCAAATCTTTTTTTTTTTAAATGAAGTAATATGAACATCCTTTATAAAGATTACAAATGTAAAAAAGGTTAAAAATATTGGTTAAGTAATAAAATTTGTTTTTAATTATTATTATTATTATTGTCAAAATGTAACTAAATAAAATATTAAAAAATATATTTCGAACGGATCGGTCCGCTCCCGATTCTAAAAATAGATTTATTTGTCACCACCATCACATCCTTCGCCATAAGTATCTGGGATCAAAATCCTATTTGCCACGCCTTGTGTTGTTCCACGGTCACGTGTTGGGACGTGTTGGGACGTGTTTAACTGGTGAAATCTATTTTTAGAAGCGGGCGGGTGACTCTCGAAACACGTTAAAGAATTCTAGCCACAGCCACAGAAACAACGTGGGACAAAATTTTAAGTTGACAATCGAAACCAAAAATGGTAAAAGATGACCAAATCAAGATTTCAACAATGGTGATGACATCAAAATAATAGAGTATCCGGCCGAAATTTTTTTACACAATACTACGATCACTGAGCCACGATCAGATTTAGTAATTAATTACCAAATTAGGATAACGTACACGATAATGTACTGGGGCTGACAAATTGTCACGATTCTTTAATTTTATGCGGATATTACTTGCATTTTTAGAAAAAAAAAATCGCAATTTTTTGGGGATTAACACGGAAAAATAATATTTTTTTTTCTGTTTTCGTTTTCTGAATTACGAAATTCCTTCCTACGGAAGTTAAACTAATGTACATCATATATTATGTTCTAAATAGGCAATTAATTGAATTAATTATTCGAAAATGGATTGACTTAAAAAAGATTATAGGACATTTATTACTGCATATGTTACAGTATACATTAAACAAATAATGTTGTTATATATTTTATTATATTGAATATGTTCGATCAAAGTTTAATCACACCATAAATGTGATAACAAATGTTGTCACATTCTCTAAGCAAGCGAGCGAAATCAAAAATGTGATATTTAAGGGGTTATCGTCGGAATAAAATATTAATCGCGCTATAAAAACTAATTGTCATAAAAATTGTACATAGCATAGGTCATAAGACATAATCAAATTTTTTTTTTTCCTAGAATATATAATAATTATTTGTAATCCTAATAAAGAATGTTATCTGCAATAACTCTATTAACTCAATTTAATTAATGGAATTTTTTTTTTTCTTTCTTTTTTCTTTTTTAATCCAATCATTTTATTGAAGAGTTGATTACTTAATGTAAATTTTATAAGAACAAAAAAAAGACAATACCATTTTTTAAATTTTAAACCTAAATCAATAGCGGAGTTATAAACATAATTATTGTGCTGACTTTGTTAGCTTTGCAGAGTAGAGTTCTTCATATCCAAAAGAGTCTAAATATTTAAGAAATTATTTTATTTATTAGCCAATGTGACACGATGTACAATTAGCCACAAAAGCCTCACGTGTTAATTACATTGTCTCCGGAAATAGATGCATGATGTAGATCATCTAGTATTAATAAGGATGGCGGATGACCAATTAAATAATTCGTAAATAAAGTTCTACACAAGCTCTAGATGCTATTCTTTACATTAATAATATTATTACTATTTACATTATTTACCCCTATTTATGGCTCAATAACCTTCTTAAAATGCCATTGTCACACGAGTTTGTGGACATTTTCTCAACCGGATTCGTATTCCGGAATTAACATATATATATCATGTTAACTACTTTGTAATACAATCAACAAAACAAATCTATTTTCAAGATATTCTTTGAATGGTAAATAAAAATATTTCTATTTGATTTTCTTTGTGTATTAAAATGAAAAACATGAAACACAGTTACATGTGAAAAATTTTGGGTTTACAACTTTACAAATAAATTTAAATACTACTTAACACGGCATTTATTACTTTAATTGTAATAACCCGTTTTTTAATTAAAGTAATCTCAGTATAATATTATGCATTATTACGAACTAAAATCAATTGGTTTTATTTTTAAAAAACGCCACACACAATATTTACGTGTCAAATTAAATATAGATCTAAAGTATATTGTTCAATATATGAGTAAATATGGCAAGATAATCTAATTCATTTAGTTGATAAAGAAAAGATCTAAGAAATGAAACTATATTCGTAAATTCCTTTATATCATTTTAAACAAGGAATATTATAATGACTTCTCGTTATAGTTATTAATTCATGTAGCAAGTAGAAATATAATGCGTTACGTTATAAACGCATTAATCCGTAAGTTTGTAACAAATCTATTATATATCCTCTAATATCCACTAAAAATTTGGGTTACACGCCACATTGGATTTTCAGTAAACAGCATAAACTGCGGTGTTAGTGATGATCGAAATATAAAAATTCAAAAAAAAAAAAAAAAAAAATAATATCAAATTTACTTTGACAACGGGCAATGTAGAATAAGTTTTGTAATTTGGATCTTCTTGGAATGCATCTGAACCTGTTTTGCACAAAAAAAAAAAAAAAAACTATAATAGACAAACAAATATCATGTGCAGTGTGTTTCATTCAACTTACAAGATCACAAGGTTACTGTTTGATAATAAAAAAGGATTTCTTTTTTCCTAAAATATATAAATATTATATTGACATATATTGACAAAAAAAATTATCATTAACAATTTTAAGCTATTTATAGAGTTTGCCAAGGAAAATTTTCTTTTTATTCTAGAACACGATGTTTTATGTTTCAAAGATAACTATTATATGAAAAGATTAATACTTTTACTAGAAAATTCTGGAATCGTATTAATGCTTCTTATGTTTATGATGTTCATCGCCATTAGAAATTCTCTCTATAATCACTTCCTGTATAATCACAATTTCTTTGATTGATCAATACCAATAATTATTACCTTAAATGATATAACTTTTTGTCATAAAGACTCAAACATTGATAACATAAAAAAAGAAGGATATTCAAGTCTGGCGATAGTTTTCCGGACTGTGAGATTATGTACTTATTTCGCCGCAGATTCAACATAAAACTTTGTTGGATAATTTTGGATTAAACCTGAAAAATTCCACTTTCACTTTTTTGGATTTCGTGTAACCATTCGAATAAGTATAATTTTTTTATTATTGGCTCCTTTAGTCGGAGATAAAATTATTTATGAAATTATTTATGAAAAGTGTTTAAATATTGTCATATTAAGGATATTCTTATTTCCGAATATGTTTATTTTAAAAATATATTAACTATTATAAATTTTTTTTTTTACTTTATAACAATATAAAAACCGGAGTTTTATTTGTAATAATTATTAAGTGACACAAGCCACTTTTTTTTACAAGCCATTGATATATTGATATTAAAAAAAAAAAATGATATAAGAGCTAACAATTTTTTCTCAGAATTTCAAATCTTTATAACTTAAACTTTCGCGAAGAAATCTTCATTCAAATACGAAAAAATTTATAATAAATCATCCTTTTATTTTTTAATTTTATTTCTTTTCTTTTTTTCTTTATTATTTATAAACATTACAAGTTTTATCTTTTAAGTGTCATTTTTTTTTTTTATGATTATATATGGTTTTATTTTTTTTATATATTTTTTTATTTTATCCGTAAAATTTCTTTTAAATTGCAGAATTTAATAATTTAGTTATTTCTTAACAAGATACTTATTAAAATTATGGAACAAAATGTTGAAGTTATTACATCTGTAATTCAACAAGGGGGAGGGGATTCAGACGAATCATGGGAAGATCAATCCGCTCCTGAAATTTCTTCTCGTCCACAAAAGAAGAAAAGAGGGAAAATATCTTCAAATGCATGTAATAAATGTAAACGTGATAAAAAAAAATGTGATGGAAATTATGCGATACAATCATCTTGTACTTATTGTCTCGATCATAATGAAAAATGTACTTATCCTGAACCTGGAAGAAGAAGACCAAAAAATAATCCAGATTTAATTGAAAATAATTTACAAGATGAAAGTATAGAAAATACCTTGATAAGTTTGACAAGATTTTTTTCTAATTTATCACATGCTAATCAAGTTAATAATATATTTAAAGATCAATTTTTTCAGTTATTCGTACATCCTACAACTTCTATTGAACAATCATTATTATTGAGAAAATTATGGAATTTAATGAATAATAATCCAAATGATAGTAGATTTAGTATTGATAATTTAAATACAATCTTTATAACTTTAACAATACTCATACAAAATAGAGAAGTTACAGTTCAACAATATTTTTGGGAACGTATTCGTCAAATTGTTGTAGGAGATGATAATAATAATAATAATGATCAAAATATGAATTGTTCCACTTCTTCTTCTTTACCAGTTATTGAATCTTCTTCTATCTTACCTTATAATGTTTCTAATAATTCAATTGAACAAACTTTTTCTGCAACAACTACACCTCAACCTGAAGAAGATGATACAATTTTATCATCACAATCTTTCATGGACTTTTTTAATTATTTAATGCAGGATGATAATTCAACAATAATTCCATATGATAATAATTCGGATAGTTTTCAACAATCTTCTACAATTCAATTAGATGATCATGCACAATTTTTTAATTCTTTGTTAGAAAATAGTCATGAAAATGAATCGATTCCTTCACCTCAACAATCAATACAAGAAGATTCTTCAAATCGTGAAGAAACTAAAAGACAAAATGAGCAAACACAATCGTCTCCAATAATTGTTCAGGAGAAAGAAGAGTTAGGACCAAAATCTAAACAATCAAAAGTAGCAAATCCTACAGAAAATCGTGTAAAGAAAAGAAAGGCTAGTGTTCAAATTAATGAACCAACTGGATCGACATCGACTACATCAACTCGAACAATTAAACAACGTAAAACCAAACAAACTTCGTATTCGGACCGTGTACACATTATGTATAGACCGGTTAAACCCGACTCCAAAACTAGTTTTGTATTTCATAAAGAAGATCCAATGGACAATTCCGTTACATTAAATTTATTTGACAATCAACAAAATTCTTTTCAAGGAGGCAATCAATATATGGCAACAATTTCATCGGCACAATCACAATATCAACAACAACAACAACGACAAATGAACTTAACTTTTGAACAATGGAATAATGTCAATAGTAATAACTCTCGAAAATCTTTAACACGTGAACGAGAACAAACTCCACAAGATGAAAGCAGAATTTCTCTTTTCAATGAATTAGGTCAAACCGAACAATTACCTTATTATATTAATTCTACTTCAAATGATATTTCTACAGATAATGAAGTGAATTTAATTTTGGGTATAGAAGAAGATCATAACGAACAATTGTAAATAATTATAATTGTCAAATTTATTATCGAATTTATTATTTATTATCCCATAACAGACATAACGCATTGTATTATAAATAACTACTAACTAAATATTAGGAATTTTTTTTTATGGCGTAATAAAATTTATTGTTTATATAATTAAACATTATTACGGTTTATACTTTGCATAAGCTTTTTTATAAATCTAAGTAAAATATTAATCGCTATATTAATCGCTAAGTTACGGATAATCGTTTTTTGAGTTTTGTAATCGTAATTAAAAATTGTATGAAAAATTTTTCAAACTTTAAGATATTTTAAGAATATATAAGATTAATTCAAAATTAAGATTAAAGAAATAAACTAAATCAATTTAAGCATATCAATAAAAGTCTCTTAGTAATTGATAATCGAATTATTATTAATATCCGCTAATCTGCGGCAATAACCGGATGACGTAAGCAATAATTTTCTTACTATGAATGACGTCATAAAGAGGAAAATGATGAGATTTAAAGAATTTCTTTTTTGCGAATCTTTTTGTTTACTATATCAGTATTTCGAATAAAATGAAGAAATGAAATCTTTCTCCTTCTCATTCAAAAAGAAAAAAAAACAAATTCATCTTTTTCTTTCCATTTTTTGCCTGATTCGGAGTCATTATTCCAATAATGATGATTTCCAAATATAGCATAATTCATGAATATCATGAATATATTGTTCTTGTTTGTTTATTATTATTATTTATTTATAATTATAATTATTATAACCAGTTGATTAACTGGATTTCTTAAAATAAATTAAATAAATTCATCATTTTCTTAAATTAGATTGTGATATTATCTGGAATATTCTTTGTTTTCAGTGAAAAACGGCTGCAACAATAGTTTATTCATTGATTTCGATCATGCACGCAAAATTGTTGACTTTCTTTTTTTAGAACATCTATTTTTGACGTGTAAGCCACTGTGGCAATATCAGATGATCTCAAATAAGCCTATAAATAGAATCTTAATGAAGGGAAATGTCAATAAGGGAAATATCAATTAATGAGATATCATTAATAGAATATCATTAATGGATTATCATTAAGGGAATATCATTAAGGGAAGGAATATCATTAAGGATGGAATATCATGAAAGGAAGGAATATCATTATAGGAATATCATTAAGGGAATTTCAATAAAAATCGTACTAAACAAATTGAAGAGTCGATTTTAACGGAATTTGAAGGAAGCTTTTATTTGTTTTTTTTTATTCAAATTAATTTGTACATATTTAATAAATAATTACATTCAGTTAACCTCCTTGGTCTCCTTAATTTGTGCCTCCCTTTTTTTTACTCCTACTGTTTCTCTGATATATAATTATGACGAAAGAAAATGTAATTCATTTTGTTTGGATTCCTGATACGTGTTTTTTTTAACTCCTTCACTTGCTCGTGTTATTTGTTATTTCACATGGAAGGATTTTTGTTTAGAATGGAAATAAATTAATTAAAAATTTATTAATGAATTTATAATAAATTTTTTACAATTATTCGTTCTTGTTCGCTAAAAATTAACTTTGTTGTAACATTAGCTTGTGTAACAATAATCCCCCCTTCACCCTGTATATCACGATCCACTCCTTATTTGAATAAACAATAAATTTCTCAAGCCAGTTTTTGGCTTAGAATGGCTAATAATAATATATTATTATTGGTTATAATACCTGAAAATTTAGATTGGTTAGATCTATTGTAAATAAATATTCGGATATTTATCGATATCTAATAAATTTACTGTATCAAATGTAAATTAAGATGAAGATAGTCGAGTTTGAAAAATTATTATATAAAAAAAAATTCAGAAATATTTTAAATCTAATTGGCTATAATAAACGAAGAAGAAAAAATTTTATTATATAAAAAAAAAAAAATTCAGAAATATTTAAATCTAATTGGCTATATAATAAACGAAGAAGAAAAAGAAGAATCAAATCAAACATAATTCTATTTGCTCTATATTACTGATACAAAAAAAAATTTTTTTCTTCTCTAGAAATAAAATTTTTTTTTTTACTTTTTACAAATGAATAAAAGTAAATAATTAACTCTTCCCATTTCCCTAATTAATACACCATGTTTTTACATCTTGCGTATTGGGGTTACCTTTAAAAGGTTCATGAGCTTCTTGATTTCGATTAATTCGATTTTCTCTTAATCTTTTACGATCTTTTGATTTTTGCGCGTTAATTTTTTGACACTCTTTGATACATTTCACTAAATCTTCTTTATCATCCCTTGAAAGATTTTCGCGCCTATTTTGTCTATTCTCAGATAATGGACATGCTAACAATCGAAAACAAGAATATTATTTACATATATCTGATATTAAATAAAAATATATATATATATATGTGTATTCATGATATTTTACCTCCAGATACACCATAATTAACAAATCTTTCTTTAATAAACTTGGTTTCAATATCATAACATTCTTCATATACACTCACACCAGACATTTCTATAACTTCCTCTTCTTCAACTGTAATCTCTTCATTTGATAAATTTTCAAATATGTTCACGTGATCCATTTGGTCCTTACGATCCTTGTGATCCCTGTTTTCTTCTATCATTTCATCTTCAATCATTTCTTCGTCTTCTTCCATATCATTTTTAATATAAAATATTTGATCTCCATCACCTAAAGTATCCATAACATTCCATTCAAACATATTTTCAATCATTTCGCTAAAATCATCATAAGATATAACCTTATTTATAATATCATGTTCATTATTAAAATCTTCTTCAGAGTAAGAAGGTGAATATAAAGTGAAAATTACTGGATTTTCATGTGATTTAAAAGGAGAATGAGGATAATGTGTTGAGGGAGGCAACATTTTTTTTTTTGTTTATTTATTTATTTATTATTTTTTTTTTTTTTTTTTTTTTTTTCTCGAAAAGATGTAGGGAAATGTGGGAAAGAAAAACAAAAATTTTTTAAGATTGATAAAATTCTTATCGACAATCACGGCAATCATTTATATAACCTTTGAGGGTTTTTTTAAAAAATCCGCACGTTACAATACACCAAATTGGTAAATGATGGTGTGTAAATTTATCTTTACCGAAACCAAATAAAGTTAAATAATGACGTGAAAATTTGAAATTTACAAAATAATATTTTAAACTTAATTAAATTTCTTTTTTTGGTAAACACGTAAATTATTATTTCAAATATCGTTATTTGTCATTTGTTAAATATCGTCATTTGTTAATATCGTATTATCGTATACTACCGTCTATTATCTGTTATAACGTAATTACCGTTGTCTATTATAAATCCGTTGTCTGTTATAATACCGTTGTCTATTATAATACCGTTGTCTATTATAATACCGTTGTCTAATTATAATACCGTTGTCTATCTATTATAATACCGTGTCTTATATGTCTTATAATACCGCTATTATAATTCCATTGTCTAATACCGTTGTCTTATAATACCGCTGTTAATTCCCGTTGTCAAATTTTAATATAACTTGTAATATTTCGAAAATTCCGATCAGAATTTTTTTTATACATAATACGCTCACAGTTAAAAATAAAAGAATCATTCCCTGTAAAAGATTTTATCTAGATAATTTCGTTATATCTTCATATTATTGAACCCCCATACGAATAAAAAAATATAATAACGTACTCTGGACCATCTACTGTATGTATAATATATATAATAGATTTTTTTTTTTTTATTCTTTTAAACACTAGAAATTCAATCAATATTTAGTTGATATTCAATACAATATATACAATATTTAATTAATATTCAATATTCAATATACAGTCAATATTTAATAATCGAATATTCAATCCTTATATTCAATCATTTACACTTTTCAATAATAACATTTCTAATAGATTGTTTTGCTCTTAATAAATTCTCTTGAGTAAAACTATCATGTTCTTCACAATAAAAATAATTTAAAGTACCACCACAATAATCAATAATTTTATCTAAATGCTCATTACTAAAACATTTAAATTTTCTAAAATCTAAAATTTTTAATCGATTTGATTCGGATCGATTAAAATTACATCTTTTCAAAAAAGTATTTAAAGAATTTGGATTAAAATACCAATCTAAATTAAATCTAAAAGTAAAAACTTTTTCTCCCATCACTTTCCCAATTTCACAAAGAAAATTATCAGCTGTCATAGGTTTCATATTTAAATGTAAATCATCTAAATCATCATTATTTCTTCCATCATAAATATGAATTTCTCTTAAAAGATTTGCTGATTTTACTATAGAAATAACAATCATCCATCTCATATTAATTCCTATAGTTAATTTAGTAATATTTGAAAAATAATGTGTAAAATCTTCTAAATCTGTCAAAGTATCTAAATTAAATAATTCTAAAGAATGAATTGAAGTAGAAGCTTGTTGTAATAAAATTTCTATTTTATTAATTTCAATATTTGATGATTTAATAAATAAAAATTGAAGTTTTTTAAAAGATTGAATATCATCTAATAATTGTAAATTATAATAATAATAATAATTATCATGATCAAATTCTTCATATAAAGATGGAATAAAATTTAAAGGATAAATATCTTCAATATCACAATCAACAAATGATAATTTTTTAAGATTATAAAATTTTGATAATAATTCCAAAGGAAATTTATAACCAAAATTAATTTTTGAAAGTACCAATTCAATTAAATTTTCTTTATGAATCATTAAATTATTCCATAAATCAATAATTTCATTTTTTGTATAAAATATTGGATTATATTGAATTAAAATTTGTTTTAAATTTCTTTGTGATTTTATCAAATTTATAATATCTTTTAATGGTATAATAAAATTATTATCAATATTATTATTGTTGTTGTTATTATTATTATTATTATTATCATCATTATTATTGTTATTATTAGAATTTTCTTTTACTTTTAATCGAATTTCTAATTGTCGTATATCTTTAGAAATTTTTGAAGTAAAAGAAATAAATCCTGATGATGATGATGATGAAAATGTTTCTGTTCCACATTTAAAAATTTGTAAATTTGATAATTTTGTTTCAGCATTTGGTAATTGATAAATATCAAGGTATCGTCCAATATATTGATCAATTCCTTTAATATAAGTTGAACTCGTAAAAAAATATTCAATTAAAATTCTTGTTATAGATTCTACAACTTCAATTAGAACTTCATTATTCTCTTCATTATAAAGATATATCTTAAATTTTGGTGTTTCTTTTATATTCTTTAATTTCGCCCATTTTACAACATTATTTTTAATATTTTGAGTAGAAATATAACGTAAAAAATTTGGATAATTAAATAATGGTGGTTTGGATATTTCTTGAATTCCAATAAAATTTTGTATATCTTGAGGAAGACAAGTTAAGTATGTATTAATAAGGTAAAGATTGGAATTAAAATTGATTTTATTCTTTGTTCTTAAAGATTCAAAAGGGTTTTCCCAAAGTTTTGATATAAGCGAATAACACCAATATTTATTAATAAGTATACATGAATATTGAGAGTTTAAATCATTACTCAAATATTTAAATATTCTTTCAAGACAAAGTTCAGGTAAAGAAGCTGCGGCCATAACTCAAAAAGTATTAAAAAAACGAGAAGAGAGTGTGATAAGAAATTTTTTTTAAAAAAATAATAATACCAACTTATTTTATATTAAAAAAATGTACATCACTTGATGCTATTATAAAAATGGTTCGTACCGTACCACAATAAGCACAATAAGGGTGCATATCCATGTAATTACTATCACATACAATCACAATAAACAATATAATTAAATTTTTACAACCATTCTGTAAACAAGTTTTATGGTGAATGATGCGTGATTCTACATAAGAATACCTTAACCATTTATGTATATTCTATTATTACAATCATTCAATGTATTAGGGTTGGTCTACAATTATATACATTGTTAAGATAATCTCTATTTAAAAATAAATATATATTAAACGATATCTAAACATTTTTAACCAAAGCGGAAGAGGTTAACATGCTCTGTTAAATTCATTATTCCCAATAACAAGATTCGGAATTATCTCTCTCACTTTTTTAACATCATCTCTACACATTCGATGATAACTATTAAAATATAAATGTTTTAATGTCCCTCCACAATGACGAACTACAACTTCAAGATGTTTACTTGAAAAAAATGAGCAATTACTAAATTCCAATCTTTGTAATCTTTTAGCATTACATTGTTTAAAAAATATATCAAGAGAACTTGATTTATAAAACCAATCCATAACCAATCTTATCGTATGAACTGATTCTGGTAAAGCCGTTCCAAGTTTACAAATAAATTCATCAGCTGTATGTTTATAATTAATATCTAATGGTATATAAAATCCTCCATCTTTCAACGTTTCATCATAAATTTGAATTTCTTTTAAATTACTACATGTTGTTATCATAGAAATTATTGATAAAAGAGTTCCTTGATTAATTGATAAAATTAATCTTGTTAATAATATACAATAATTTCTACAAGAATAAATTAATTCACGTAAAACTCTAAAATTTCTTATTTCCAATATACGAATACTATTATTGGCTTGACGAATTAAAGTTTCCAATATATCTGATTGAATAGTTGTCGTTTTGATCGTTAATGATTCTAATTTTTGAAATGATGTTTGACCAACATTTTTATTGGATAATCCAGTAAAGCTACATGATTCAAGTTTAAAATGTTTTAAATTCTCCAATTTGGCCAAATAATAAAGTGGAAATCCACATCCAAAGTTAATCCTATATAATTCAATATGAGTCAAAGTTTTGGTATGTGTACAAAGACTAACCAAAATTATAGGGAACTCAATTGAAGTACATTGAAGTATTATATGTTGTAAATTTTTTTGTGATTCAATAAACTCTGTTACATCTTTAACAGGTGAATTTAAATCATCCGATAAATAATTATGATGTGAACATATGAATCGAATTTCCAAATAATGAATATCATTTGCGATCTTTGAAGCTGATTTGAAAATACCGACTTCCATCAAATCAGGTAAATAAGTTACATTACATTTAAATGTCTTTATCTTTGATAAGTTTGGATTAGCGAATGGGTGATTAAATATGTTGAAAGGACGACATGATAAATCAATTTCATCTATATGTATCGAACAGGAGATAAAATAATCACATAAAGTTTCAACGATAGTCCTCTCATAATCCCTTGTAATTGAATTATCGCAAGTCACGTGTAAATATTTGAATAATGGAAGTTCTTCAATTTTCTTTGATAATATCCATTTGTTAACACTTTTACAAATTGGCGCGATATCAATATATCTCAAATATTTCATATAATTGAATATTGGTGATTTAGTTGTTCCAGAATAAATATTGTCTCTCATATGTTTTGGAAGACAAGAGATATAAACTTCGATAAGTGATCTATGATGTTTTTGATTTTTTTGACCACCGGATCGTATAGTATCAAAGGGATTTTTCCATAGTTCAGATACAGCCATGGTAAACCACAACCGATTAACAAGTATACATGAATGAAGGGTTTTAACATCATCTTCCAATTCTCGAAATATTTGTTCAAGACAAAGCTCAGGTAAATAAACCATCTTGTTAAAATTTTATTAATCTTTTAAAATATATAATAAATATAATAATATCAGAAAGATTTTTTTTAAAATAAGAAAGCACAGGGAGAAAAAAATAACGAATAAAAGAAAGAAAAAAGCTTACTGCTACAACCTTTTTAAGGAGTTACTCAATATAAAAGAGTCTAAGAATGTTAATACTAAATATAGTAAATTCTAATTCCATTTATCTTATTATTGGACGATTTTTTTTTTATAAATATAATATTTGTTATAGGAGTACTACATAAATATTTACGAAATCTTCTTTCAGTAAATGGTAAAAATACCAACAAAGTAGAGAAGAAAAGCAAATAATTGTGAGAAAATCAATTTATATGTTAGACAAGATTTATCAATCTATTTACAATTTCCTTTTCGGAGTTATTCTGTGTATATATATCGGGTTATATTTATTTAGTAGACAGTAAAGTTTTATCTTGTTTGATATATAGTAAATTTCTATACAATTTAATTCAAATGTTCTCATATATTAAAATACTAAAATACAAAAAATAAATAATAATCTTCGTCTGAAAATTATATTAAATAATCTAACTTTATACTATTGAATATGTCTATAATATTCAAATTATTTATATTTAAATTTTTATGCTACAAATGAAAATTCAATAAATTACAAGGTTTAGAAATCAAATTTCTTAACCCAAAAGAATGAATGTCGGTACAAACGACCACATAAAACTTTCAATGAGAGTTGTTTGAAATGGGAATAAGTACTAATTAATAAGAATAATAATTTTGTTAATAAATTTTCGTTTGTTATTTTATTTTTTTTTTAAAAAAAAAACGAAACTTACGTTTTCCACGTCCATTTTGTACATTTTGTAGCGACCATATTGTTTCATTAAGTCTAGCAATCCATTCAGTTTTCTCCTCCCTGTTTTTTGCACGAACAGTATGTGTTCCATTTTTTGTTTTTATTTGAAAGCAATAAGGCAATTCTGAATCCTCATAAGTGTCTTTAACTGACGCGTATCTCAAATCAATTTCACCTTTGTAGTGATATATTCCTTGAAAATCCAAACAAAAAATTAATAGATCATTGAAAAGAAAGTGTACTCGTACATCTTGTAATGATGCGTAACTATTAACTTTTGTTGGCGAAACTTTATAAAGATTTCCTTTATAAATGAACCTTCGTGCAGGATGTACTATGTTATTTGGTAACCCAGTAACTTGTCCTTGAATTTCCAGCACTTTTTGTTGATTTTCTGCGTCTCGTATTCTAAAACATAATTTAATGTAAGAAAATTATTCTAATAAAAATTGTACGAAATTATATTATAACATACTTTTCATTTACTTCATCAGCAATTGCTGAAATTTGATTCACGCATTTCTTTAAATTGTTATAATCTGGATCTGACTCTTCAGTATATTTCAATAGAGCTTCCAACAGTAATTTATAACGTGGAATTCTTTGAATTGGAAGACTTAAAAAAGAATTAAATGGTAATCCTCCTAACTCTGGATTCTGCTGACATTGCTACATGATCATAATCAAAAAGTTAATTGATAATTACAGTATACTTGGAGAATTGCAAAATAAGTACCTGTAAAAATTTTTTGAACTCTTTACTCTCTTTACTAAGTCGTTCCATGGTCGCAATTGCTTGTGGAAAACTTTTAAAGTAGATTGCATACATTTTAAGGTATGGGGCCTACAAATCATAATGATTTAATAAAATATATTAACCAAAAAGATTTTTCTTGAAAAAAAAAAAACATACATTTTTTAAAAATATATCGCTAATATGTCGCGTTGGACTCCAATTTATTTTCCTAAATCAAAAAAAAAAAAACAATTAAGGTTAGTTCATTAAAAATTAATTTTCTATATAGATGATAATTACCTTTCTTCCAATGATTTCAATAATTGCTCGTGTAATTTTAGTAACTGTTCAACATTTCCAAATATGGTCGAAATCTCTTCAATAGTTGCAATGGGTTTTGATAAGATCTTATTTGCAGATCTTTGTCGCATGGGCAATAAGTATATCCTCACAAGTTTCCTTAAACCATCAACATACGTTAATTCTGTGGTAAGGATTTCATTAACCGCTGCTTCACGTTTTCGATTTGCCGCTACTATTTTTATAAAAAAAATAAGTGAAAAAAACCAAATAACCAATATTTAATAAATGTAATCTTTTGTTTTTTTTTGATCAAATATTTAAATTACCTGCACTAGTTGGAACTGGCTTATTAAGTTCAGAATCCTTAGGATCCACAGGATCCTCAGGATCCTCAGGATCGTCATAATAAGAATCAATAATATCACTTGTTTCGAATTCATGTGTATTCGCAATCTGATCATTATCAGGACGTTCATTGTAATTATTATCAATTAATATTCTTGAAGTTTCAGCATGAATTTTTGGACTCATTGGTAACGATGTATATTGTCGAGGATTTGGACCAACAGTATAAGAACGGTTAGTATTTTTTGATGAATCATCCCTTGGAGGTGGATTTATCATATTGGGTCTCCCTTGTAAATTATTATTATTATTATTATTAAAATTATTATTATTATTATAAGATTGTTGTTGAAACATCACTGGAGAATTAATTGGTAGGCCATTTCTTGGAGATGATGGAAGGGAAGGTTTTCTATTTTGTGAATTGGGAGATAAATCTCTTCTACTTGATTCAGGAGTAGAGAATTCATTTTGGATGTACTTTTGTGAGGAATTGGGAGAAGTAGAATATTGTTGTAGATTTGGTGATGGTGGTGTGTATAAATAATTCGCATCTGATGTTCGACGACTGTGACTATATTCTGAACTTTCATATTTTCGATTATTATTAAAAGTAGGTAAGGAATTTCTTGTATCATTATAATCTATGTAATCATCTTCATAATAATCCTCAAAATTATCAGATTTTTGACTGTAAATAGAACTATAATTGCTCATATATCCGGAATCTCCACGTGATGACATTACAACTTAAAAAATAAAATAAAGTTTTTATAAAATTTATAAAATATATGAAAACTCAGAATATTGATGATATATATAGTCCAGAATACTAATTATATAATAAATAATGTAATAATGTTTTTTTTTTACAAGTTTACTATTTATTCTCTCTTCTTTGAACTATTTAATTCTAATTTTGAACCACTTTTAAAATCCAATATTGGGAATGTTCAAATAATAGTTTCTATGTCAAGTCAATAGTTAAGATGAGTAAGTTAAAAGAAATATGAAAAGGAAACATAAATAACTTTTAAAAACAATAACATACTTCTTTTATATACCTGAATATATAGGTGAAAAAGGGAGGGAATCGGAGGCTTTATTTATTAGAAAAAAAAAAGTATTCATTGAATTTATTAAACCATTTGAGCAATACCGCTTTTTAAGGAAAAATGAGAAAAAAAGAAGAAAAAATAATTAAATTAATATTATAAAAAACCCACGTAAAAACTTACCAATTATTTGAGTCAACTCAAAAAAATTAGACGTGGTTTAAATGAAAGACGAAAGGTGGAAGGAGAAAAGATGATAAAAAAAAAAAAAATAAATAAAAATTTTTTTTTTATTTATTTTTTAATTAAAATCGTATAATATATTATAGATTGAAAAAGGTTTTTCTTTTAATTTTAGGTTAGCAAAAGTGTAAGGGACTTCATGTCTTCATGTTACACCACAATACAACGTGATGGTAACTAACCTATAACCGATAAACAATCTCAACCTCATGTTTACATAATTGTATTAATTATTTATTACACTGTTCGATTTATTTGGCATCACAAAGGAAGTTTCTCTGGTTGCTTGAATAAAATTTAAAATAGAAAAAAAAAAGTTCAAAATCGGAAAAAAGCATGATAGTACTTATCAATGCATTACCATAATATATAAATTATGCAAAACATTTCAATATTTGCATTTAACCAATATGGTGTGTATAATGTATACAACAAATATTAACTCAATATTTTTTCACATAGTTTCTTTAAAGAAAGAAGAGAAAAATTAAAAAAAAATTAAGTTGAAGATCATAATATTTAAAACATTGATTTTTTTGTTTATATATTATATAATAATAAATTTTTAAAAATAATTTTTTCTTATAAATATTATTATTAAAAATAAATAATAATAATTAATATATTTTTTTTGTATTATTTGTATATCCTTGTTTCAATTTAATTTTGTATGAGGGTAATTTATGGTATTTTATTGTAAATCTCTGTTTTAATCTTGGCAATTTTTTAATACTAGGCAAAAATGGATTATATTTGTTTTTTAATCTTTTACTGTGATACATTGTGAAAAAACAATTAATTCATTAATTCATTTTTTTTTTAAAAAAAACAACGTGCTTTTCCACATTACTTTTGATGTTACTAATTTTGTCAGCTTTTTTTTTCACCTTTCAGTCTTTCGGGTAATTCGGAAGATTCCAGAGAAACACACCAATAATCTTTATCGTTTCACATAGGATTATAGGATTAACCCGATTGAATTTTCTAACTGACTAAAAAAAGAGATCCAAAAAAAACGTAAATCACATGAATTCCCGTCAAATTACGTTATAATGCCACATATAACATATTATATATTTTATATTTTATAAAAAAAAAGTTAAAAAAATCCGTTTATTTTAATATAATTATATAAAAAATATTTGTATATACTAGATTAATTAAAATAAAAAAAAAAATACATTTTTTTTAATGGTAAAAATACATGATGGTGAATAAAAATGTTTGAAACTTGATATGAATCAAACTTTTTTTATAAATTAATAATGTAAGTAAAAATATGTACGAAAATGTGTACGGTAAATATGTAGAATTTTGATGGAGTTTTCGTAAATTAAAACCTTGTCATATTAATTCTTCAATTGGATCGATACTTTATGTACAATGAGAAGGTCAGTGAGTGAGTGTAATGCATGTGATTTGTTGTTGAAAACATTTTCCCAAGATGCAATATGTAAAGAAAATTTTCCAAGATGCAATATGTGAAGAAACATTTCTCAAGATCTAATATGTAAAGAAACATTTCCCAAGATGTATTCCCAAGATCTAATTAATATGTTCCTTAGGTGTAATATATTTTCTAAGATGTCATATGTAAAAGCTCTCAAAATCACGCAGATATCATAATCCACTTAAATATTACTTTTTTTTTGGACATAGGATCCAATCTCCAATTTCTGAGCTTCTATTTCTATATGACCATAAAGTTCTTCTTAATACGAACATATAACTCCTTTCATTGAAATAATAAATAAATAAATAGATAAAGAACTAAATAATGATTATATATATGTATACATATAGTGATGATGTTCTTAAACTTTTCTATTAACAAAATAAATTACACAAATAATTAAATTAAAAAAAAGTCTTTTTATAAATACATTACATCAATCTTTCACGGTTTGTCACTATTATTGCTTGAAGATGATTGGCGATATGGAATATTGTCCTCTAATCCTTCAGAATTCCGTATATGTGCCAAATATTTTTCTGTCTTTGAAAATTTAGGAACAGAATCCGTGGCCATAAGTCTAAAAATGGTATCTTGAATTTTATCATATAAATGACATGTTATAGGAACTGGATTCCCAATTTGTTCTGTACTTGCAGCTAAATCTCTATTTGATGATACAATAGAAGTCATATGTTGAACCATATGTTGTCTCAAACCACCATCAATATTAAGTTCATGAGGTGAACCTGGAGCTAAAAATGTATTATAAATTCTAAAAGCATCGACAATAAGATCATGTTGTTCTCTTGGATCTTGTGGTTCACCATTCAAATCAGAGTTCGTACTATATCTACTTTTAAAAGTTTGAACTTCTAGTAAGAATAATAAATTTTCCTCACAGAACATTGCTTTTAAAAATTCCATAAAAAGAGAACATAATGTAGAATCATCTAAAATTTGTTGTAGTTTCTTTGTATTAGAATGAGCGATCATTCCACGTAAATTACCACCATTTTCAATTTGAACGATATTATCTGAATCAGGTAAAGATTCATTTCTTGGAATACTAGTATTAGTTTTATTTCTAATACTATAACTATTAGTTAAACCATTAGTATAACCATTACCATTTATACCATTAGTATAACCATTTAAACCATTGGTATAATTATAATTATCATATTCCCATAAAGCAACTCTACGACCTTCATCAATAATATGATAATAAACAGATTTGGAATACTTAAATGTATTACCTTCAATTTTATCTGAACGTTTTTTAGATTCATTGTTTTTATCAGAAATATATTCAATAAGTCCATAACGAATAAATTCTGTAGCCATTTTCATAGCCTCTTCTTTTGTGATCAAAGTTGTGAAATCACAAAGCCAATCACAAGCAGCAGCACCATTAAAAGAATAACGAGCCATTTTACTACCAAATTGACGTTCTTTAACTTCAATACCAATATTTCTATCATGTTTTTCACAAAATGAACCTGAAGAAGAATCCGAATCTTTAGTTTCATCAGAATCTTTATTAACGATATTTGGTTTTGTACCAGCAAATCTTCTAAAAATTGATTCAACACATTGTCTAGTTGAAGATACGGAATCATTTTCAGGACTTCTTTCAACAAAATATAATCTAATAGGAGAAGTTTGTGAAGCGAATAATTTTGCTAAATGAGGAGCAGCGATCCCATTCCTAGTAACGAATCTTTCCAAAATATATAAACCTTTTGGAGTTAAACCGAATACATTCTTGTCCTTAAAAGAACGACTACTAGAATCAGCAAGATTTTCAAATAACCTAGCGTCCATAAAAGTTTGACAAACACTTTTTGCCATATCTTTTGTCATACTAAAAGTAGTAGTAGTAGTAGTAGTTATTATACGTGATGGATCTTTTGGATCAGGTGTACGATGTGATTGAGTAAATTTCAAAGAACCGAGATTTGCAATTGCTTCTTCAGTTGTAAATGAATTGGAATAACTTCTAAATAAATTTCTATGTGTTTCCATTGGTAGTGAAACGACAAGCGTTGAAAACAAATCATGGATATCCTAATAAATGAAAAGGACAATAATGAAAGGTATAAGTAAATGTTCGTTGTGTTTCATGTCTTTTTTATTTTTTTTTCAACTTTACCAACTTTAGCAACATATTATATGAAGACATAAAATAAATTACTAAAATCACTTTATCAGCTTCTGATACATTGACTAAATTATGATCGTGTAATAAAAATTCACTAGATCTCACAACTACAATATATCAATAGTGTTTGACATAAAAAATAAATAGTACAAACCTTGACAAAAGGTCTTCCAGACCTCGTTGTCTTCATCATATGAGTAGAAGATTGTTGGTGTACCTGTGATTGATACGCCATATTTTTCTAGACAAACAAAAATCAAAAGTATTCGAAAGCAGTTTTAACTAAAGAGGAGGAATAAAAGAAAAAAAAAAAAAAGAATGCTTTTTTTTTTACAAATATAAATATGATTTTTATTATTATATACAGAAATCAAGAATTTGTCGAAGTAAAAGAATGTCGTGTCTAAAAAAAAAATAAAATAAAATAAAATATAATTCAAATGTGTTGTTGGGATTAACGGCTTGTTTATATTGCTAATTATATCAATTTTTTAAAGTAATACAGACAGACCAGTATACCAAACTAAAAAGTCCAAACACGAACATCCGATGTTGAAATATTTGAAATATTTATAATGTACAACAAGAAATTCGGCACATCCCACTTAATGTCACATTATTCAATTATATTATGTAAGAAAAAATTGTTTGTTCAACAACGAATTCTCATTGACTTTCATTTAATAATAATAATAACATATAAATAAAATTCTTCTTGTTTAATAACAGAATTCAGGAATCTTATTGTTTTTTTTATTTAATCTAATAAAATAATAATGAAATATAACCAGATTTTCGACAATATGCGGGTCGCATATTTTATGCATCAATTAATTATATTTTTGAAGATAAATGTTAATTAAATTTTAAGAATTTTAATTTTTTCGCGTATTTTTTAAATGAATTTTTAATATTTGAAACATTTTTTATTTAAAACTTCATTATCCACTAGAATAATTAATGGGATTAATAAAAAGTTATATGAAATATATGGCGAACATGAAATATGAATTATTATGACGAATACGATGAAACAATTATCTTGCATATCAACGATATTATCTATAATAATAAAAAAGTTAAATTCTCTTTAGCGCAGTAAACTGTCATACGATTGTAAATCATTAAGGTGAAATAAATCTTAATTCAGAAATAATAATAAAATTTTATTTTTATTACTAAATTTGTTATAATAATAATATATTATTATTAAACTATTTTCACTTATGCATAATATTAAAAAAAAAGTTATTTTTATTTCAAAATCTTTTTATAACTTTTTATACAACTCTTTTTTTATCACAAAATGATTTCGTTAGAAGAAAAAAAAAAATAAAAAGGTTAAATCTTTTTTTTTTTTTTTTTGGAGTTTAACTGTTTATGGTTCCCCACAAATTATTTTATTATTTTTTCTTTTAATTATCCTTATAAATAAATTTTTAATAAATTGAATTTGTAGANTTATCCTTCAATTAATATTTTAAATTTTATTTTTTCAGAACATTAAATCTAGTTGTTAAAGCTTACTGTCATATTTTACAGTAATCTTTGAGCGTAACTACTTTTTAACGCTATTAAATTATTATTTTTTTTGAATTTTAAGAAAAAACTAATATTAGTAATATTACTAATAAAAAATTCTCGACCAAAAATTCTAAAAATAGAATGAATTATTTTTGACCGGATACAATGATCATTGAATCATGCGTTATTATGCGGTATGATTTATTCTTAAATTAATTTAATCAATGTCAAGGGTAATCAATGGATTCATTGGTAATACTACTTTTTATTTGTAATATTTCATTAATACCGTAAAGATTTAGTAAAATTATAAAGAGAGAGAGAGAGAGAGATCGAAAGATGGAAGTGACAAAATCGTACAAGATATAGTACAAGATTGAAGATGAAAGATGTGCTTGTTAATATTATTCTACTTTTTTACTTTTAACATTGTGATTTATAATAGTGAAACATTTCAGGGGAAATGATGAATATAATTGGATTAGCCATTTCTTTACTATGAATCTATGATCACATTAAAAGATTCGGCTCCCGAAAAATAAATTTATCCGTTCCAATATTCTTTCTGATAGAGGAGGCGACAAATAACTTATATGGATAAATAGGCTAAAATAAGAAAATTAGATTATAAATTCTTTTAGTGAATATTCAAATGTCTCGTCTCTCTTTTCTCACATTGAATCCCACGCTAACCATGCTACTTACACAACATGTTTTTTAAAATCATGCATTAATAATTTATCTTGCATAGGAAATATTTACCTCGTACTTTCTAAATGATTCGTCTAAAATCTGAAGTATGAAAATTAAAGTTTATTAGTAAATTTTTTGTAATTTGCTTGATCACGTGTTCCACGTGTTTGTTATTTACTAAACTTGGTTTTTTAGATGTTAATCATTAAATCTCCTTTTTTTTCTTCTCTTTCAATAACATGAAATTAATAAATAAAATCAAAATTAAATTATTATCAGCTTCAAGATTCTTACAAAATAATTATTATTATACCAATTTGACCATTTTAAATCATCATCAACAAATTGATATTTTAAAACGATCATATAATGATTATAACTTTTATAACGATTATAACTTATTTAAAAGAAAAAGATTCTCATCTATTACAAATGAGAACTCAATTAAGGAGAATGAAATTAATGATTTAACAACTTTAAATGAAGATGAACTTTTATGGAAATTAAAACTTTATCTTTTTACGAAAAAAGATGTAGAAGATTATTGGAAAATTTTACAAGTATATATGAAAGATATAAGAGATATGAGAGATACGAGAGATACGAGAGATATGAGGAAAATAGATATGAGTAGTGTGAAAGATATAAGAGATATGAGAGATATGAGAGATACGAAAGATACGACTCATACTAATGATATAAAAAATACTACTCATACTAAAGATATAAAAGATACGACTCATAATAGAGATATAAAAGGAGATAAGAGAGATGATGATTTGTTCCCATCAAATATTTCAAATATTTCAAATTCAAATGATAAATCTTTATCAATGAAATATATTGCTTTAATATTTACTAAATTTTTTAAAGATGATAAAGATGATCAAAAAAGTGTTTTATTTTGGGAAATGTTAAAAAAATCAAATATAAAATTAAATTCAAATTGTTATAATATAATATTACAAAATTCTTATTCAAGTAATTATTTTACTTTAAATTTAAAAAATATTTTTGATGAAATGAAATTACTTAATTATAAACCTACAATATTTACTTTAAAAATTATGATAAGTAATTTTAGTAAATTGGGTAAAATGATTCATGTTAAAAAATTTTATCAAATTTATTTAAAATTAAATTATAAAAAAAAATCAAAAGAAATTTTTAATTCTTTAATTATTGGAAATCTTTTAATTAATAATCTTACATCTGTTTATCATCAATTTAGAACTATGGATAAATCAAATTTAAAACCTTCAAAATTTCATATTGATCAATTTATTAATTCTTGTTCTTCTATTAATAATATTAATAATAATAATAATAATTTTGATTATTTAAAATGGACTTTTGAAAAATATTATTTAAAAGGTGATTTTAATATTACTACTGAAATTTTTAATTTGGTATTATTATCTTGTTCTAATCAAAATCAAAGAAAACTTTCAAATCATTATTTTTATGAAATGATCAAAAAAAAAAATTTAAAACCAAATGAGTTGACTTTTCAATATTTAATAATTTCACATATTGGAAATGATGGGGTTGGATCTTCTGGATCTTCTGGTTCATCTTCCGGATCTCGTGGACCTCATGAATCTCATGGATCTCATAGATCTCATGCATCTCGTGAATCTCGTGGATCTCGTGGACCTCGTGAATCTCATAAACGTAAAGAAAATTTTTTAGAAATATTGAGAGAATCTATAGATTTTTATAAATTAATGAAACGAAAATTTTTACTAAAGCCAACCGAGATTACAAGTTTTATTTTAGTAAATGGTATAGTATATCAAGATAAATTATTATCTAATGGTGAATTATTACCTTTAACAATTGTTGATGTACTTCCTGAATTATCTCATGAATTATTGGACAATTTACAATTTAAGATCAATCCTGAGATAAATAAGAAAGTTACCAACAAATATTTACAATCACTTTTTTCCACTCTTTTGAAATATAATTATACAAATGAAGCAGAAAATGTTTATAAAACAATACATTCACGCAAACAAGGGTGATCTTCTTGCAGCATTATATTAGATTTTAAAGAGATCACAGTGTTATTCATAGATTTGCATTCTGGAAATATAATTTAATCCCTTCTAAAGAGATAAAGAATTTATCAAAGATTAATTAAACATCATGGGGTTCCCGATGAACCGCACACTTCTACGTAAATAGTAGTTAGGATATACCAGTATGGAGGTATGATTATATATAATGGATCATCCGATAAGAGAGAGAGAAATGGGAAATTTGGAATATTAGCTTTTAGATTTATTTAACCGTATTATTATATTATTCATGATTAAATGGAATAAGTGGGTAAAGGGTACAAATGATATACTGGTGATATACATAATAGATGACGGATACTTTGTATAGCTGATTATGTTTATTCATGTGCAAATAAATAAAAAGTTCTTTACTGAAAGTAAAATTTTTTATTTTATTTCTCTGTAAAAAAAAAAAAAAACCTTTACAATTTCAGCATATTACATTACAGTTTCGTTCCCTTCTTTAAATTATCTATAAACAATCCTTTACGATTTAATTTCTCTATATAAAGATCTCCAAGAAATTGATGTTTCCTTTCATGAACATACATATGATGTAGATTATTTTTTCCAATGATATGTAATTTCTTCAATGTTTTACCACAGAGACTAATAATTACACTAAGGTGTTCATCCGAGAAAAAAGAACAATCATTAAACTCTAATAATATAAACTTCTTGGGTTGGAATTGACGAAGAAATGTTTCAAGTGATGTTGAATCAAAGCTCAAATCTGACAAGTATTTAAAAGTATGAACTGACTTTGGCAAGATCTCTCCAAGTAATCTCAAGAATTGATTAGCATCAAGAACATTATACGTAAATATTTCATCACATTGATCTTCGTAGATGTGAATCTCTTCAAGATTTTTGCAAGCATTTATCACAGAAATTATGTGTTTATATGAAGACTTTTTAATTGACGTTATAAATTTTTTTATATTTGGACAAAAGTTGACACAAATATTTTCGAGTTTTGGAAAATCAGTTGTACCCGCTGGTAATTTCAATACACGTAAACAATCTTTGGCTTGACAACATAGAATCTCCATAATTTCAAAATTCACATAAGTTGCGCTGATAAGGATTGATTCGAGTTTTTGAAATGCTTTTAAATCAGGTTTTATTATTTTTCCCCTATTAAATCTACAATTTTCTATTTCCAAGTATTTCAAATTTAAATATTCGGCCAATTCTGTGAAAGGAAATCCATGATCAAATTTAATATTTCGAATAGTAATATGAGTTAAGGTTTCAACTTGAACGGAGAGACCTTTTATTATTTCAGGAAATTCCATTAAAGAACAGCTTAATAAAATATGTTTCAAACTTTTTTGAGATTTGATTAATTCTTGAATATAATTTAAACGTGTAATTAATGTTGTATAAGGAACTTTTTTCAAATCAATTTCCAATTTGTTGATATTATTTGCAATTTTCGCCGCTGATGAGATAATTTCAAGATTATATTGAATTTCAAACTTGAAATATTGAATTTTTGATAAATTTAAGATAGCACTTGGGAATTCAAAGATATTCAAAAAAGTATCATCAAGTAGTTCAACTTCTTTAATACAAGTTGATCTATTAATAAAATATTCACATAAAGCTTTGAGAATATTATCTTCAATATTATTTGATACTTTTCTTCTCTTCGTTGTTGATTTTAATTTGAATACTGCAGGATCACCACAATCTTTATATAAATTACGCCAAAGATAAATACTTTTAATAATTGTTTTAAAATGAATATATTGTAAATAAATTCCATAATCAAATAAAGGATATTGAATATCTGATTTTAAACCCAAGTTATTTTTAATATCTTCAGATAAACAAGAAGTATAAGTATTCAATAATGGAATATTTGCTTCCATAATACCATTAATATTAGAATTATTAATATCGTCAAAAGGATTTTTCCATAATTTTGGTAAAGCTAAAGTACACCAATTTTTATTAACCAGAATACAAGAATGTAAAGATATAAAATCATTTTTTAATTCTTCAAATATTATTCTAAGACAAAGTTCAGGTAACATGATAGATAGTTAAAGATATTTTTTATTAGATGAGAAAAAGAGCGTTAAGGAGAAAAAAGGAAATAAAGAAAGATTTTCTCGATTTTTGACGCGTCTTTTTGAGTAAAGATTGATCGTTACAAGTTCATCGTGTTTAATTACTTTAATTGCTCTTAGAAGTCGTGTTATAGTTACATCAATGGCGCAGCATTTTTATGAGAAATCGATTGATTCTCAAAGTATTTGATCTGATTCAACATTTATATAACGCGTTTAAAACGCGTCATGTGACTATTAAACTATTAAATATATTGTATCTTATATATAAATGGTATAATCAAACAACAATCTACTTATCAGTTATCGCATTATCGCAAAAGTCGCGGAGTCGCATGAGTTGCATCTTATCAGATAATCTGCTTTAATTAACAGATTAACATATGATTAACATATTTAGTAATAAAAAATTAGTAACTATAAAATGAGTTCATTTGTTTTTTTTTTAATTTGGTAACCTTTTTACTTTATTTAGCAAATAAAAAAAATTAATCACCAAACTTTAGTATCTAATATATTTCTCTATTGGTTTCAAGCTTATTTCTAGATCTTTTAGATCTTTGTAATCAAGAAATCTTTCGTTCAACCTGTTCTCCAAAAATTCTTTTTAAAAGAAAATTTTATAGACGATAATAATAATGATATTTTTTTTCATACTAAAATTTTAATAAATTTATTCTAAAAATGTGTATAATTTGGATACTTGAATTGTAATGTTTAAATATTATAAAATATTGAATACTTTGCTATATGCAAAAATTGAAAGTTCCTGAAACGACTCGCGAACCGACTTTTTTATTAGAAAAATATTTCCCAACTAAATCCAAGAACTTGTAAATTTGAAAAAAATTTCTCAATTGAATAATTGGTTTTATTTTATCATTTGTTAGTACTTTATCGTAATCACTGGCTATTTCATTCTTCTAGTACTGATTTCAAATTTATTACTGAATTTACAGATTTACTAGCAGTAGTCCAGCGTATCTTGCAATATAATTTTAATCCTCCTCCACTAATTCCTTTTCTTTAATTATTTGAGCAAGTTTTGCATTAGCCTAATAAGAACCTAAAAAAAGTTGTTAAAATATTAATACGTTTTAATAAACGTTCTCCAAACTTCTCCTTGACGATATCCCATGCAATTAAATTGATAAATGTGTTATACATCACATATTCTCAATCTTTGGATAATTCTTATGTATAATTTTCATGCATTATGAATATTGGCTGTATTATCAGAAACTACAACACCAAGAGAAAGTAGGAAACCCGACAACGAAATATTAACCGAGAAATGAAACCAAGGGAGGTAACCAAAAGAAACGAAATAAAGGTAGGAATTAGATTAATATGTGAACTAAAAAAATAAATATAGAATCGAAACTTTCCAATTTATACTAAGGTTGTAAAAAAAGGTGAAAGATATAAAAAAAATTAAATCGAGTGCATATAAATAAAAGATATCAAAGAATTTTGAAGACAAGTAAATTTAAATTAATTTAGTTTTTAATCTATAAAAATGAAGTTTGTTAATACTGGTTTAAATTTTCTTGGATAAAAAAAGTCACCGAGATAAATTAACATCAACGTGCATTTTTTCATGGTAACGCAGCTCAAGTAGATCCGTCGCACAGGTCAAGATGCCCACACACTGATTGTATATGGTTATTTCTATGCATGGACCTCATTATATGAATAAATCGGAAAGAATTTATTATCGGATGTTGCTTTTTATTCATATTTGCAAGAAACTTACTCCTCGTTTATTTTTCTTAACTCTTTTCTTCAAACATAAACTTGAGACATCATTTTCAGATGGCTGATAAATACGACCCAACAACCGATATTCACAATTTATTCATATTCCTTTTGGTTCCGCTCATCATACGGACTGGTCTTTCGACAAATTACATGGAATATATGCGTATTCCTGCACAAATCATTATCTTTGCAATTTTTTATTTACTACCTATGGTAATTTATTATTATTACAATTTCTTTGAAATTTTCGGAAAAACGCTCTCTGTTTTTATCTATATTGGATTACCTTGTCTCCTACTTTTTGTTCTCGTCACGATAATATTATTTATGAAGAAATTTATGAAGAAATTTGGAATTGATATTAAAGATATTAAGGAAATTGGAATTATACTTTTTGTTATTTATGATTTCGTTATAAATATATACTACTATTCATATTTCTGTGAAATGACTTTTAAGACATATAATTATTTATATATAATTATACCCATTTGTTGTCTAAGTTTTATTGTTTTTATAATGTATATTTATACTACTCTGTTTTCTATCAAATCAGATCATCTAAAGGCAATCTTAATTTCAATGAGTTACATCATTAAGATTTTTTTTGTCACAACATTATTATCAACCTCTACCATAGTTACAAACTCTTTATTGGCCATTTTTGCAATTCCATTCTTTTATTCTTGTTATTTATTCAACGAATTATTTAAAAGTCATTCATATTCTCGAAAATTAGATAAACTTGTTAATGAATTGTCAAACTCGGTTGGTAAGCCGATGATTGATTCCGCTTCAGATAATGAAGATAATAAAGATAATAAAGGAAAATATTTTAGTTTGTTTAATACTATAATTAATGCTAGAAAATTCAATATAGAGATATTAGTTAGTACATTTACTGAAAAAGGAAGAAATAGAGCAATAGAAAGGACTCAAAAAGTCATTCGTTGTTATTACTTATTTGGAAAAGAACTTAAGAGTCACTTTGATAAACTCAAGGAATTAGGTAATAAAGATCGTACAGCTCAAGCACTAGTTAATGAAGAAGTCAGAAAACAACTTTCTTATAAGTATGTTGAACGAACAATATCTATAGCCCAGAAAGTCTATGAATTTTTTAATGAAATCGGTGAAGATAAAATGCAAATAAAATCTTTTTCTGCTGAAGAAATTTCAGAATTAAGTTGTGATGATATTGATTTTATATTTGCTAAGCTCGCAAACCTGCAAAAAGAGAAAAATCAAGAGGATCAAGAAGGGATAAATCAAGAGGAGAAAGATCAAGTCATTTATATAGAATAAAAAACAGAGCCAGTGTACAAGAATGTAAAGATATAAAATCATTTTTTAATTCTTCAAATATTATTTTAGGACAAAGTTTAGGTAACATGATATTTAAAGTTATTTTTTATTAGATGAGAAAAAGAGTGATAAGGAGAAAAAGGAAATAAGAAAAATTTTCTCGATTTTTGACGCGTCTTTTGAGTAAGTTTGATCGTTACAAGTTCATCGTGTTTAATTACTTTAATTGCTCTTAGAAGTCGTAGAAGTCGTGTTATAGTTACATCAATGGCGCAGTATTTTTTATGATTTTCAATATGTGAATTGATATAAACGCGTCATGTGACTATCAAATATATTGTATCTTATATATATGGTATAATCAAACTATTCAGGAATACGGATTAACATATTTAGTAATAAAAAATTAGCAACTAATAAAAAGAGTTCATTAGTTTTTTAATTCAATACTAATTCATATACTACATAAACTTTAAGAATACATATATGTAAACACAATATTATTCCAATTTAACTATCAGCATTATAAACGTCCTGTATTTCTGTATTTAATCCATTTAGAAAATTATCAGTATAGTTAACCCTCTTCACCCGAGGTAACAGCTTTCCTTGGAAGATAGAAAAAAGCTAACAATGTTCTATTGCGTGTGTTTGTTTCTTTATTAAATAACCATTCCGTCTTAGGAAACAATGTCTGTTTCATTATTTTCAGTGTGAAGCTTAAAAATGGCATTGTTAGTCTTATAAGCGATTAAGAGATTAGGCAACAGCTCTAAACCACACCCCCGAATATGTCTTAAAACTAGACGACCATTATTTGGTAAAACCAATGCGTACAAACATCCAACTTTATGAACAATATGACCAACTATATATTTTATGTCCAATCTGCTTCAGACTTGGTTATAAAGAAGGGAAATTGTTGATTGGCTATTGAAGATAACAGCGACAAAGTCGGATTTAGCTGATCCTCTTCCACAGTTACCGGGGATTTTGTGATGCGGCAGGTAGTAAGTAAGTAACGGAAATTGGCTAAGTAAGTAACGTAAAATTACTGTTTTAGGTCAATTTACGTTACTCTCCTTATATAAGGCACGGAACGTAAAGTCAATTATATTTACTTTTACGTTACTCCCCTTATATAAGGTACAGAATGTAAGGTAAATTTAAAAATTGGTTAAACTTAAAATTTTATTGCGAAAATATTTTAAAATTTTTTTTGCAAACACATTTATTCAAAATAATCGATTTATTTAATGAAATTTTATTTGCAAAATGCAAATATTAAATTAAGTCACACATCTTCGATTTTAACGAAAAAAATCACTGTATTTATTTTAATGTAGTGATACAAATAAAAAAACAATAACAATAATTAAAAAAGATAAATAAATTACAATGATCAAGGAGAAAAATGCTAATAAAAAAATGTAATAACAATGGAGTAATGGAAAGTAATAGAAGAAGAAAGGGAGTAAAAAAGAGTAATGAGAAGTGATAGGAAACAAAAAGGAGAAATAGGACATGATGGGAGATGAAAAAGAGTGATGGGAGATGATAGACGAAGAGGAGTGATGTGAGACGAAAAAGAGTGATGAGAGACGGAAAAGAAGTGATGAGTGACAAAAAGAAATGATTGGAGACGAAAGGAATTGATGAGAGTCAAAAAGGAATGATGGGAAGTAAACAGGAGAGGAAAAGAAATAATGGGAGACGAATAATGAGAAGTAATATGAGGTGAAAATGATGAGGGACAAAAAATAAAAAAATGATCATGATAAGAGGTTGGAAACCAAGTAAAAAATAAACCATAAAGTAAAAAAAAATGAAGTTAGTAAATAAGATAAAAACGAAATAAAAAAAATAAATAGAAAATAAAAAACATACCTTTATTATTTATAGAACTGAAAGAACTAAAATAACTAAATAAAAAATGAAATAAAATTAGTGAAAACCGAAATATGAAACAGAAACAAAATAAAAAAAAATAAAAAAAATGAATAAAAAACGAAACTATACTGAAAACGAGATTCGATAAACAAATAAACATGATGCGATCATGTGGCAAATATAAGGAGTAACGTAAAGTATTTACCAAAAAAATTTACATTCCGTTCCTTACTATATAAGAGAAGTAACGTAATAGATCATGTGACTTTACGTTACTTACTTTGTCAATTTCCGTTACTTACAGTACTTTCTATATATTCTTTGTGATGGTATTCCCAATTTACATCAATAATGTCTGATCTGATGAGGAATGCGTCCAATAATATTTTAGCGTTACTGTAATGCGCCCACATTTGGGCTTTGATGTGAATTTCTGATGATTTGCTTCCTGGGTCTTAACAAAAAGCAGTCAATGATTTTACTACGTCAATGATGAAGTGTTGTTTTGTATGAAATCCAAAATTTTTTGCTAACAATTGTTGACCCAGAATTCACGTCATCTACGATTTCTTTTTTAATTAGATTATGTATAATTATAACCGCATTATGAAGCTTTATATTTTGAGAACTTGCTTCAATAAAGAAACGTCGACTGCTGGTTTTGGTAAGCTAACAATAAATTTTAATTCAGAGAATAATTTACAATTGACCATTTAAGCAAAATAGATAAGTATTGTGATTGTTGTAGTTGTTCTACAATGTGATGGTTTCACATTCTTTAATATTCTTCTATATGGTAGGAATAATACAGCAGTGTGCGGATTAAGTGTTGATGGCACAATGGCTTCATCCTCATTATTGCATGATGGCTTTCCTCCCTGTGATATTAATAGACAGCAAAAAAAGATTAGAGCCAGAAAGAGACAGCACAAACCATAACAAGCTATGCTAGATCGTGGCTTGATTCCCACCTCAGTCAAAAATGGCCTCAAGTTGACCAGCAGTTACGGGGGTCAAGCTGTAATGTAAAGAAAGGCAAGACACTTTTCTTTCTACATCAGCAGCGCAGGGTGTAGCCGTGTAGCACACAACGTGCATGTCATGGCATACATAAGACAGAGAAATTCCCTACCAACAGCACGGGCCATTTTTGTGAAAAATACTGACCTTTAAATCACGTTGCATTGCTAGTACTTTTTCTCTGGCTCTTGTTCCAGTTTTAATTTACGAATCAAGGCTTGTAATTCAGTTATGTGATTCATTCCTCAGAAGAAATTTCTCTCAATATTCTTATAGCAAATAATATTAGAACATAAACTATTTAAAATTATTAATGAGTTATCTTATACACGATAGAGTATTTAGCATTTGATAGTGAGGAACAATAAACAATTACCAAATATTTAACTTCCTTTAGAACTTCTTAATCCGCCTGTTGGCATTCCATCAATAATAAAGAAGATAAGTTTTGCCCGGATTCGCACCTTCCAATTGAGGATTATCCCCTTTACCTTATTTTTTTCTGAAAAGTAAAAAAATTATCAATAAAACAATTACACAAAAAAAGATTCTTCATCTTATTCACATTCACTCAAACTTATTCATTTGTTTATTCCTCTAATCCTTACACAACTTAATCTTCTTTTCCCTACCCTATCCTAACTTTGTATTGTCATATTTAGGTCCTTTGTATATCAAATGCCTTAACTTTAATCTGTACCATAATAAAAAAATTATATCAAAAAAAATCATGCGAAAAAAAAAAATGATTAATAATAAACTCAGTACTCGGTAATGTAAGCTGATTTTGTGAAACCTATTATGAGGATTATCTTAGTAACTCTGGTCCGAGAGAATAGAGATACTAAGATGCTACAACGTGACGGGTTAAATATCATACCTTCCGATGGTAGTATTACCGTATAGCACCGACTGGGTATACTTCCATAATATTCAAATTTGATTTATAATAGCTGTTAATATGATGATTTTGAGGAAATTAAATAGATCCACATATTTCTTTTCTATTTTATATTGTATTTATTATTGGGAAATGGGAAACATGAATCAGTTGATCCAGATTCAGATTTGCGTTTAAGGCCAATAATATAGAGAATAATACTTTTGCTTAATGCGTAACTTCAATTATCTGTTAATATGATCACTAATTATATTTGTCAGCCCTTAAAACTGAAAGTAAAATGTATCAGAACACTTGTATTAAAATGTTTAGTAAATGTCATTTTTTAAGTATTAATGAAAATGTTTACTTCAATAATTTTCGTGATTATGTAAAAAGTTTATGTAAATAGCAATACGTAAAATTTACCTTTTATATGTTTTGTTTTTAAATATTTAATGTAACATTTCTAAAAATAATTTATTCTGCTAAATAGGAATATTCATTTTTATCTGAATTAAAATTAATTATTTTATTTTTGTACTAATATTTGTTAAAAAAATTTTTAATTTTCATTATCCCTCTTTTATATCTGCACAGGTGAAGACGATATGAACTGACCTGACCTCATTACAAAATACAAAAAATAAATTAAAACTAAGGAGATCATATAGTAAATAAATCGAGAAATTTATTATCGGATGTTGCATTCTTATTAGTATAAATATTCTGCATTTTTGCAAAATACTTTTATTATCATTAACTTTTTTCTTCAAACATTAAATTTGAGACAACATTTTCCGATGGCCGATAAATTCTCTTTCCTTTGGCTCCATTCATCATACAGATTAGACCAATTACAAAAAATTTATGAAATATATGAGTATTATCATTTCTTTGCAATTTATTATATACTACCTACGGTAATTTATTCCTATTATAGCAATTTCTTTGAAATTTAGGAAAACACGCACTATTATGATCTATTTTGCATTATTTGTAATTCCTTTAAGATTTTTGTTGTCACAATTATCATCAAAGTATTATCAACCTCTAACTACCATAGTTATTTTTTCGATAAAAGTTTGAAAAAACGTTCATCTCGTTTACAGAAAACATTAGATAAACTTGTCAATGAACTGATAAACTCGGTTAGTTTTAATGATGAGTTGGCATTTGATTCCGCTTTAGAGAATAAAGTTAATAAAAT